AGATATGGTTATTTCATGCGCTGTAGGATGAACTGAGTTGGCGCTTATAATTCTTTAAAATCAGTGAAATCTGAAGATTTTTCCAATTAGCCAACATATGACTAGTTAATTAAACGCAAAAGATTAAAATACTTCAATATAACAACATATCGTTCAAATATTGCAGAAATTGGGATCTGTGATTTTCGATTGATATTTAAGAGATATTTTATGAAGCCTTCTTTATCAGCATCTTTTAAGGTTAACCATGTCATAAAAAAAACTAGGCTAGAAAGGTTATTAGAAAAGAAAAAGATCATAAGCAGAAATTAATCTAGAAATAATTACTGTTGAGGTAGTATCAGAAGTAATAGTTCTTGGACAAAAGTTTACGTAATCTTCTGCAACCACAAAAATACACAAACAGTTCTTCAAAACCACAATAAAATTTTCTACATAATTAATGTAATAAGTAGCATATAAATAATAAAATAAAATAAAATAAAAATTTTCCTCTGCCAAGCTTAACAGAGCATTCACCACCCCATATAAATTTGCTCCACTGCCCATGTCTAATCCTTGCGCACGTATGCCCATTCAGAGCGTAGCCTAGTTAATTCCAAGGGATTCTCGCTTGGTTTGTAAAGAATATATCGCTTATCAACACCAGAAAAGATCTCTAGCAGTCCAATGCGAGAGAATTTGTGCCAGTAGAGGATTAATATGTTGCAATGGTGGTTTAAATTGTTGCATATACTAAATTCATTTCGCGCTTAATACTGGCCTTTGCCTGAAATCGGCCAGCTATAATCCCCATTGAAAAGGTTCTAATTCCTTCCTATTGGTCCTATTAGAAATAGTAGGCCGTAAAGGGTTGCGAGGCATGGTGTAGGTAGTTGAGAGGACGATGGACAACATCGGGTGACATTTCGCGTGATGCAGAATTACGTACCTCTGTTATGTGACTGCATATTGATGTATTCTTAAAAGAAGCCTCTCTGGTTTAATAGATTATTGTTAAATTGAGCGAAAAGAAACTACTATAAAATCAGTATTTAACAAAAATTCCATGTACAGGCAGACTAAAAGAACTAGAGATTGTTTAATATTACATATTTTATAAATAAATAAACTTAATAAGAGATTCATTAGTCCGAGTGCAGTACCGCGTTTTTTATTATAATGGTTAGAGCTCTTAGACGTCTAGATGCTGACAAGGAAGCTTAATGATGATTTATAAGCATAGAAGACAGCTGTGGATAGACATGATTTATAATAAACGATTTAATCAATATAGTCTAAAACCAGACTAAGAAGGGCCTGGATAAGCAATTCGCATTTAGGAAATCATAGTACACCTTTACCATTATTATAAACACTACAAGTTCACGGAGGATAAGGTATTATCATCTTATAAGCCGATAGAATCTGGCTTGTTTTCATTCCAAACTAAATATAGATTTTAATATTAGAATCCCTGATTTTGCAGCTGCATCTGATGAAGAGTTAGACAAATGAATAAAGATTATGACAGGTGGTCATACCTTAATTCAGTTAACTTAAGATGCCATTTCCCATTCTCTTTTAGTTTATAAAACTAATCTGAATGGGCAGATTATATATATATATTGTATCTACCCCTCCTAGATCTAATTTATTAATCTAGCATTAAATAACTTGATTAAACGTCGAGTTGCCCGGTCAGCGGCGGCGGCGAGCAATGCATACTTTCGTACTTCGTACATCTATCAGATTTCCATATCAAAATATTTATTAAAGTGTTGTATTACTGTACAAAGGGACATTTTCTCTATTTACGGCCTTCTTTGTTGCAGTTACTTGCACTGTACTGCTGCCGTGGCTTTGATGATGGCTTTTGTATGGCGTCCCTCCACAATAACTAGAGATAGGGGCTGAATATGAAGATCTCGAATCCGCTTTTTCTTATTCAATTAATTGAGATTGCTGGTATCCTTCATGAATAGAAGAATTGGTTGCTGGATGAGGGAGAAGGTCGTGGTGTTGGTGTCTTGATGTTGAGTTTTACAAGCACCCTGTCTGGTTTTAAAGACCAGCAGCTGCAAATCCCACTCACGATTCCCAGGCTGGATAGATATGGCATGGCTATCTCTTGTCTCTGACCCGCAGATGACTTTTGCAGTTGATGCCACACCCATTTGGAAGCCTGTCTCGTCCATGTTATTATAATTTCATTTTTTACTGCCATCTGTTCTCTAGTTTCACTATATGCATAAGTAAATAATCAATGAAAGTCATATAAAAATATATATTTTATAATAGATCACTAAAGTTATTAACCATTTCTTTATTTATTGGTATGTTGCTATACATATATGTATATAAGCCCCTCTAAGCCACCTATTAAATCCTATTAGCACTGATAGTGGAAATTGTTCTCTATTTTATTAAGCTATCTTTTAAAAGACTAGAAAATTAGTTATCTCTTTCTTTATTAGCTTGTTAGTTCTTTCACTTTTTACTTTTTTTTATCTCAATTTTCTCAGTCTAACAATAGTTTTAATTGGACCTCTGCAAAGCGCTCCCGTGGGCCCTAGGGTCAGGGCCCGCCAAGACAGCCATCTAAACTAAAATTACAGTAATAAAATACTAATTACATAGCATTGGTGAAAGTTAGTTTGCAAATGCAGGTTTGAATTGAAACTCGCCTCTATTAAAGGCATCAGTAGCCGGTTTTATTCGCTCTCCCTTGCCCATGATAAATATGATGATAAAAGCGGATCAAAGATAGTGTACGGGGTGGTGTGTTCAAGAGAGGCCACCGCAAAGTGCGCAATTCGGTGATTGGTTATGTTAGAACTAGACTTTTGCAGAGCCTGTCTAGACGGTCCACCTAGAGACTAGATGGGCCCCTCTTCAACCTGAGAGCCCGCCAAGAAGTGTAATATTATTGTCAAAGGCATTTGATGTCATTCCAAGGACTAATATATCACCTGAACGGAATAACCTCTCGACATGAAATGACTCTACTGTCAAAATCTATTAGAGCCTGAAGAGAATTTATCTAGATGGATTAGATATGTATCAGCACGGGCCTACCTCTTTAAATATCAAATTCCGCTATCTTCTCCAATTACTGCTATTTATCTATACGGCATATCACCCGAGAAAGCCATTATTTTGTGAGCTATAAGTTAACCGTTTTTATTCGACGCTATCCCGAGCTCAAAACCAAATATACTTCCAAATATGACCATCAACGTGCCAAATGCGAAAACCAAGAGGTATTTTATGTTGTGGGATCACGTCTGGTTGTTAGATAGACTGGCAAGCAACAGGACATATTAAGGGGCCATAGTGCCAAATTATATGCTAGGATGTTCATACAGCGATGCATGACAACCTCATAATAGTTTATTCGCTTCAAGAGACTATCCAGAAATACGGCATTGCAGAGAAGTATGGATGAAATTGGTTTTCAAGTGAGAATGGCATCAACTGCGAAGGTTATCTATGGCTCAGAGATAGCCCATGCTAACTCTATCCCGCCTGGAAATCGCAAGTGGATTACTAAAATAATTACCACATAGTCTAACCATCGTATTGTATTCAATATTGAAGCAAAAGACTGAGTAATTAGACCTGACTAACTGGTTTTATCGCATGATATTTTGATGTTAAAAGATATATGTTGTGCGTCCATTATGGTTGCATCACCATTTTCTACTACAACTGTCAAAATATCCATGATATCATAATAATAGCATTATTTTTTCGATTGAACTGATATAGATTAATATATCTGTTTGCAATTTTTGTGGAACCTGACGAGTCGCGACTCCTTACGAGGTCTATCGAAGACTACATACAGTTTTTCTGCTCATTATAATTGACACATAAAACAATAATGGCTCGTGTAGTTATATATGGCTTACAATTTGTTGCATATTTTTTTCTAGACAATAGCAGATTAGCATTTTAAGTTTTTACAATTCTCGAAATCAGAACATCACTAAATGAGGTTATTTATTTTTATTTTATGGGCTAGATAAGACCAATAGAAGCAAATCTTGCTTGATTTAAGTTGACTCAAAAGCCAATATAACATAGCTCAAATATAAACATTCAATCATAACCTTTAATGATTCTATACTTAGAGGGGTACTTGATTTGTTATTGGAATATATTAGCGCACCAAGTTCTTTATGTTAAGTCAAAACTTCCCTTTACTTTTTTGATGGACAAATCATTATGCGAATCGCTCTAGAATTAGAATAACATTGTACTTATGAATTAGGGACTATAATAGACCGATGCATTCCCTGGCCCCAAGTCGTGGTGCACTGGTTGAAATCACATGGCGAAGGGCACAAACCACCTGACACTAACACACGCAACCAATAGGATGAAAGCTTAATTTGGCCAATCAGAGGCAAATCACTGGGGTCAGTTCCCAGACCTCAACGGAGGCAAGACTTATGTCGTGGTCACGTTACGTGCACATTATACACGAGCATAAGTATGACAAGGAGATGTATGAGTCCGCTATGCGGTTTTGTGCCCTAACAATCGGGTTGCAAGTTTATCTCTAGTATTCGCTTCGCTTACGCCCCGCAAACCAAGGAGCATAAATAGCAATCGTATGAATAGCTTATGACAAGATGGCCTAGGACCCAAGGTTGTCCTATGGTAATGATGGCCGTACTAATGAAGGTTAGTGGGCGCTAAAAAAATATTTCAAACTTGAAGGTATGGCGTATAATTATATTTTAAATGACCCAGCCATTCTTGCAGTTTAAGTTGTTACTATTTATCTACTATCTTTCATGTCCTTCATAGAAAGTAGATATAGTCGGAATTTGAATGTACGCAATATAAGATATTGTCCATCACTACATAGGTACATATATATCTCTCTGTGTGTTTTTTTTTTTTTTTTTTGAAAAATAAATATATATCTAGTTTATGTAATAACATTAAAATGAAGTTAACCAATTAAATAACTAATTTTGATGGATTAACTATTTCTAGTTGAACAAATTCATGGAGCTTTAAGCTTGATGCTTGAGATTTATGCTTTTAGGGCTTGGGCCGTGCCTTTAAAGGCATGATCTACGAGGCTTGGCTGGAGACTTCCCCTTGAAACGCAATAGCGGAAGTCGGAGATAGCACTTTTCCCTGTCTTCCACTCCCTCCAAGCCAAAATATGGATGATTCCAGAAAGCGGACGTTTAATGACACAACAGACAGTGACGATGGTGATCAAACCAGAAAGCGAAAGATAATCGGACCAGCTCTACCCTCCGAGCACGATCAAAAGATAAGCCATAATGACGATTCTGACGACAGTGATGATGATATTGGTCCGATTTTACCTCCTTCAGGGACCGAGCACCTTCGGCTTGATAATAAACCTGACGATGCTGGGTTGTTATCTAAGGAGAATCAAACCCGTACGAACAGCCGTCAGCGAGACGAATGGATGCTGCAGCCCCCAGAGGAATCAGATTGGACATCTAGAGTTGACCCAACTAAGCTTCGAAACCGAAAATTCCAGACAGGGAGATCGACAAGGGGTCTGCCCGTAGCAAATCGCGTGGATTCGTCTTGGACAGAGAACCCGGAACAAAAGATGGAGCGCATAAGAGATGAAGTAATGGGTGTCAAGACTTCCATGCCAGTGAAGGATGGCAGCAACCACACAGAGGCATCTCGTATTTCCGATGCAACTCACGAGAGGATACAAAAATATAATGCAAGTGCCGAATATGACTTGGTCTTTCTCTCAGACTTTGCTAACAAGCTTTAGGAGGCAACAAGGAAAGACGTGGCACAGCAACCTGGACTCAAATTGAGTGACAATGAAGAAGACCCAGGCATGCGCCCCTTTGACAGGGAGAAAGATATGGCTACTTCCTCGAGTATCTCCAATGCTCAGCGTCGAGAATTGCTGAATAAAGCCGCAGACTTTGGGTCTCGTTTTACTGGAGGACGATTACTCTGAAATCCGTTCAGAAGCGGGTACCAATAATGATAATTATTATTGAGTAATTTAGGGTATTTATTGAATTGATTTTACGTTTAATGAGGAATCCAAAGTTTCAAAAAATACATATCAGAGGAAAAAGATGGTATTTGTGGGTGTAGACAATAGTACATACATGTAGTATATACGAAGTCATATATCAGCTTTCAATGCTTCCTTAGCACTGGACGAGGGGTAAAAATGAGACACCCCCCCCACCCAACAACAAAAAAAAAAAAAAGGAGATAGAGAGCCTAGAGTACAGGGTCTATGTCCATAACATCACCATCATAATCATTTATGATTCCCAAATCACTTTTGACTGCGCTGCTCTCGGTTGCAGGTGGATGGTCCAACCTCGCTTGCCTTGCCCGTGCCCGCGTTTCAGCTATCGCTCGCCGCACATTGTCTTGTTCTTCCGGTATTGATAGTGATTTTGGTTCCCGATAAAGAACCAGTTCATGGCTTTGGGGTTTAGTGTCTGCGATGAGAGTATTCGGTATAGACAACAGTGTCCCTGCAACCCCTGGCAAGATACTGATGGTGTCTTCTTGGGTATTGCTTTCTGCTAACTCGCGATCAATATCATGAATGAAGACCGTATTTTTTGTATCATCCAATAGCATTTGGTCAGCTAAATTTGGCGTATTCTGTGTATGTGTCGGCGGTTCATCATGTCTGAGGCCATTGAGGTTCGCAATGGACTCTATTTCTCAAAAAGAAAGGAGGGAAGGAAAGAGAGGAAGACTGATAGTCAACAAGTCTTATTCGATTGGACCAGAAGATGAACCAAGGATATTTTATTTACCTATGTGTAACTGTCCAAACCTTTTTGCCAGAGGTTGGTCTTCGGGCTCGCTTTCTGCGGGGCGCTTTTTTCCGTGGTATTGAATTGCCGTGTCAATTTGTTGCGCCATTAACCCACGCTTCACAGCCTATTGACCGATCTTTTTTGAATATTACCAACAGAAAGAAGACAAAAGACGAAGAAAGAAAAAGCACTCGTATTATTCTGCTATATTTAGCGGAACAGCCACAGAAACGAAGTGTTGCTGAGTGAGCATTGGGCTTATTTATATGCGAACCTCTCGTTTTCTGAGGGACGGGGAATTGGCTTTGACTCATCTATCCACCCTCAGGCCAAACCCCAGAACATTCCACCACCCTCTTCCGAACCCAGCAATATCACGCACAAATCACACCTGCACAGTTTTCAGGATGAGCTCGGATTCGAATGGTCCTAAATGGACCAGCCAGAAAGTTCGGGATACTTTTCTTGATTATTTCAAGGAAAATGGTCATACATTCGGTATGTAAAAGAGCCCCTCCCCCGCCCTAATAGGGCGGGGGATATCAAGAAGGCAAAAAAAAAAAAAAAATAAAAATAAAAAATAAATAAATAAAAGAAAGAGGGAAAAGAAAGAGAACAAACTGCTGACATCGCTCAACTGTAGTCCCGTCTTCTCCAGTTGCTCCTCTCTCTGATCCTACTTTACTTTTCACCAATGCAGGGATGAACCAATTCAAGTCCATTTTCCTAGGCACTGTGGACCCCCATTCGGACTTTGCAAATTTGAAAAGTGCAGTGAACTCTCAGAAAGTGCGATTATATTCTACAATAGCCTCGAAAGTAGAGCTGACCAAACTTTAGTGTATCCGTGCAGGTGGAAAGCACAATGTAAGACTTTGAAACATGGAGTTCTTGCTACCAACGCTAACCGTACTAGGACCTGGACGATGTTGGAAAGGATAGTTACCATCATGTCAGTCCAGAATTAGATTTGCTTTTAAGACGATATTGATAAGCTAATTGCATATGCGAAACAGACTTTCTTCGAAATGCTGGGCAACTGGAGCTTCGGCGATTATTTCAAAAAGGAAGCAATTTGCTATACTTGGGAACTCCTGATAAAGGTATATGGTCTGGATCCTGACCGCTTGTATGTGACCTACTTCGAGGGCAATGAAGCTGGCGGGCTAGACCCAGACCTGGAGGCAAAGGAATTGTGGCGTTCTGTTGGAGTTCGCGATGACCATATCCTACCTGGAAACATGAAGGACAACTTCTGGGAAATGGGTGACCAAGGCCCTTGTGGACCATGCAGTGAGATTCATTATGACCGGGTGGGCGGACGGAATGCCGCCTATCTTGTCAACCAAGATGACCCGGACGTACTTGAAATCTGGAATAATGTTTTCATCCAGTACAACCGTGAGCCTGATCGGTCTTTGAGGCCCCTTCCGAACAAGCATGTCGATACAGGAATGGGATTCGAAAGACTCGTGTCAGTACTTCAGGATAAACCGTCAAACTACGACACCGACGTTTTCTCTCCTCTGTTCCAGGTTATTCGCGATATAACCGGAGCTCGGGAGTATCGAGGATTGTTTGGCACTGACGATCCTGATGGCATTGATACAGCCTATCGAGTAGTAGCAGACCATGTCCGAACCCTATCATTTGCGATTGCAGACGGTGTGACACCGAACAACGAAGGTCGCGGATACGTCGTACGCCGTATACTGCGCAGAGGTGCTCGCTATGCTCGGAAATACTTCGGCGTTGAAATTGGGAACTTCTTTTCCCGAATTGTACCCACTGCAGTCAACCAGCTGGGCGATATGTTTCCTGAATTGAGAAAGAAACAAAATGATGTCATGGAGATACTGGATGAAGAAGAGATTTCCTTCGCGAAGACGCTTGATCGTGGCGAGCGACAGTTCGAACATTATGCCCAGCAAGCTAAGGTGAAAGGCGTTGACAAACTTCATGGCGCCGATGTTTGGAGATTGTACGACACATTTGGATTCCCTGTCGATTTGACTCGGCTGATGGCCGAAGAAAGAGGTCTACAGATAGACGATCTAGAATTCGAGGAAGCGCGCCTGAAGGCCAGAGAAGCAAGCAAGGGTCAAAAGAAATCCGCGTCAGATGCCGTTAAGCTTGATGTCCATGATCTGGGAAAGCTGGAGAAAATGACCGACATCCAGAAGACAGATGATTCCGCCAAGTTTGAAAAAGGCAACATTATTGCCCAAGTCAAGGCGATTTATCATGGTAAACTGTTTCATTCGTCGACCGAAGACATACCCGATGGAGAACAACTTGGAGTTATCCTTGATCGCACCAACTTCTATGCCGAGCAGGGTGGCCAGGAAAATGACACTGGCAAAATCATTATTGATGGAAAAGCAGAGCTCGAGGTTGGCGATGTTCAGCTGTACGCTGGCTACGTTCTCCACACGGGTTTCATCAAATATGGTTCGTTCGCCGTTGGCAACGAGGTCATTTGCGAATACGACGAATTAAGACGATGGCCGATCAGGAACAACCATACAGGGACACATATCCTTAACTTTGCTTTAAGAGCAGTCCTTGGTGATAGTGTTGAACAAAAAGGCTCTTTGGTTGCCGCTGAAAAATTGAGATTTGATTTCTCGCATAAGTCAGCTATATCAGATAAGGAGTTGGAAAAGATCGAGGAAAGATCCACTGAATATATTCGACAGAACTGTGCTGTATATGCGAAAGAGGTTCCTCTTGCAACTGCACGGCAAATATCGGGTGTCCGAGCAGTTTTTGGGGAGACATACCCTGACCCCGTCCGCGTGGTTTCCGTCGGAGTAGAGGTGGAAGAACTACTCGGTAATATTAAGGACCCACGTTGGGAGGAGGTTAGCATCGAATTTTGCGGTGGCACCCACGCTCAGAAAACAGGCGATATCAAGGACCTGGTTGTTTTGGAAGAGAACGGCATCGCCAAAGGCATTCGCAGAATCATTGCCGTTACTGGGGAGGATGCTCATGAAGTACAAAGGGTGGCAACGAGCTTTGAGGGGCGCCTCGATCGTCTGGAGGCGATGCCTTTGGGTCCCGTGAAGGAGCAAGAGGCAAAACAGATCCAGGTAGAGCTCAATCAGCTCTCAATATCTGCTGTCCAGAAATCGAGACTCCGGGAACGCTTTGCGAAGTTGAACAAGCAGGTTATTGATGGACAGAAGGCGCAACAAAAACTTGAGGCCAAGAAGGCACTTGAGACGATAACCACCTACTTCCAAGAGCCTGAAAATCAAGACAAATCTTGGCTTGTTGCTAACCTGCCAATATCAAACGCAAAGGCTGTTAGCGAATCACTGAATTACGTCAAGTCGAAACTACAGGGCAAGACGGTTTATCTTTTGGCAGCAGATCCCCAACAAGGACGTGTTGCTCACGGCTGCCATGTATCCAAGGTAGGCTTTGGTTATTCCTAGTTTACGAAATTTTTCTAATGCGAAATATAGGAGATGAGCGATAAAGGTGCTTCTGCGAATGACTGGTCAGCTGTTGTTTCGAATGTCGTGGGAGGAAAAGCTGGTGGAAAGGGATCCACCTCGATTGGAAATGGCGTTAACCCCCACAAAGTCGACGAGGCCGTCGCGCTGGCATCTGCTTATTTGAGCAAATTTCACTTATAAGTAATATTCTGTAGGTGGTGCGCCTTTCTTTGTCTTCTTTGTCTTCTCTCTCTCTTTTTTTTTTTTTTTATCTTGTCTTGTTGATTTGCCTGGTGTCCGTATCTTTTCGAAGAGATTCATGATCACCACAATTATGGATATTTCTCAAGCATGTACTGCATTTCTGTAGTATAGAAACCCGAACTCGATTATTACATTTCTCCACACTGCACCACAACCACATCCTGATTAGGTTTGTCTCTAGTTGTGCGGGTATTCTCAACCATCCGCACAATATCCATTCCATCAGCAACTTGACCAAAGACCACGTGTTTGTTGTCCAAGAAAGGAGCCGGCGTCGTTGTTATAAAAAATTGACAGCCATTTGTATTTGGACCAGAATTCTAGAAACCGGTCAGTGTTTGCTAGAGGAAGGGACCGCTAAACTCACAGCCATGCTCAACAGACCAGCACGATCGTGCCTCACGGCGAAATTTTCGTCTGGGAATTTTGAGGTACCATAAATAGAACGAGATCCTGTACCATCACCGTTGACAAAGTCCCCCCCTTGTATCATAAAATCCTTGATCTTTCCATCAAATTGAGTGATTAGTCCATATCGTAACGAGGCATTTGAGTTTGAGGATGTATCTCATCACGTACTATTCGATGAAATTTGCTATTCTTATAGCCCTGCGGCCGGCCTTGAATATCTTTGCTTTCACCTGTGCAGAATTGACGAAAGTTTTCCGCTGTTCGTGGTGTTACATCTGCAAACAATTCCATTTTAACACGCCCTAGGGGCTCTCCTGCAATCCCGGTGTCCTTCAGCCCATGTCTTCATTAATTATGATGCGCGAATGCATATGGATGGCTTTTAATTGGTGTTGTCTTCCAAATGCTGGCTGCATGACATCGAAAGTTTAAAGGTCCAAGACTCACCTCCTAGTGAAATGTCAAAGAAAACAATGGGGTTCAGGTGTTCATGCATATTCGAGGGAGTTGTGTTCATTTTGAATTGTTATTTAGGACGTTGATGTATTGGTTGAAGTTGCAAGAAACTTTACCTCAAGAGGTACAGCGTACTAACAATACTGTACAGAATAATACCTATTTGAACACCACTATGCCAACATCCATATTCTGAGAAATAAGCCCAGTCAATAATATCAATTTGTACTGGCTTTCAAGAAACTTCTCCTACCCTTCATCAATCACGTATGGACTTTTGTCACCCTAGAGATACTCGCTATAGTTGATCCTCTGGTGTGTTAATGTAATGAGGTTCTTAACATCACATGTACAAGTAAACATCCCTATTGTGAGGAGGAAGTACTCCTGACGGAGTAAGCATTTGTCAATTGCTATTGAATAGTTATCCGTCAGACAACCGTTAGGATGTAATACTCTCGTACTGTAAGTTACGTGAGATGTGATGGACCAACCCGTGACTTCGGTACCTCAGGTATCACATTTTCGTAATAAGTTTCTCCGCAGCAACACAATTTAATATCTTTCCAAGTCTAAACGGAGGCCATGTTTCCCAGAGTTTGGTAGAAGACTAACAGAGATGATATTCTGGGTACTCTTATTCGAGGGTACCTGAAGTTTCACAGTCTTTTAGTGAACTAGGCTCCGACAGTCCGCGCAAAGCATACTTTGGTGTCGGGCTCCTTTTGGACTTCAGGGATCGCACCACAGAATAAAGATCACACTGTATCCATAATCGTGGCGCTTTCTGCAGGATCATCGTTTTTACGACATACGCGTTTGCTCTGGAGGACATTGGTCGAAGAACACTGTTCATCTGATATCCAATACCCTCGTTAAAACAAAATGACCACAACGACAAGTGCTGCTACGAATGTCGCTACAAATGCCGGTAATAGCGGAGACAATCATAATACAAGCCCTTCGAGTTCACCTTTACTATTTTTTGTCGCCCTTGGATTTGGTGTCGTATTTACCAACCTATGGTACGTCAAATTGCTTTTCGTCTACTACTTGTTCTAGACTCCTAACCGGCTTCAAAGGATAATTGTTGGAGTCAAATACTGCTTTCGATATAATCAGCGAAACCGCCAATTACGCAACGAAGAGACGGGCGAGCCTATAGACTTGGTGACTATGCCCCGAACACACAGAAGAAGGAGGGAGAAGAAATTGATGACCATGGATGAAGTTAATGAGCGATTTCCACTTATTAAATATAAGGCGTGGAGAGCGTCACGTGAAATCGACGGCCTTCCAGCAAATGGCGGAATACAGGCACCGAATAGCAGGCCACAGAGCTTAAAAGGAAATAATGACTTTATTGCCACTGTTGGAGTTTCGTCCAGCACGTCTCCACTAGATGACCAGCATCAGATAAACGCACCTGCGTCGTATTCGCCAACTTTTGTTCACCATGCCGAAATCCTGGTTACGCAATCGGAAGAGAAGACTTCCGCGGATTTAGGACTCTCTGCTGATGCTCGGGAAGCAAGGCAGTCGCTCGATAAATCTGTACAGCAAGTTCACGCTTTAGAAGACGATGGAAATGGCGATGGCCATATCAGCACCGCACTCCCTGCTGGAATTTTGCCAAATCCCGGCGATTCGTGTGCAATTTGCCTTGATGCGATTGAGGATGATGACGACATACGTGGTCTTACATGTGGCCATGCATTTCATGCTTCTTGCGTTGATCCTTGGCTGACAAGTCGGAGGGCATGCTGCCCTCTTTGCAAAGCGGACTATTATACACCGAGATCTCGTCCTGACGCTGTGGAGATATCAAATGTGGAGCGCCCAATGCGTCGTCCTACACCTCGGGCGCTAAGCCAGCCTCATGCTGTTTTCGTTGGGGGCCGAGTGAATCCATTTCGGTCGGTTATGGCTTCACCGGGACAGCTACTGCAGACAGCACTGCCTGAAAACAGATCTAACTTGACACAACCAGCGGAGCAAAACCCATGGCGCATGCCAACAGGCCAATCTGCACCTACCAGCACTTTGCCAGATAGGCCAGACGAATCCCATAGAAATCGGAATCGGTGGTCGAGACTGCTTCCCTCCCATCTACGAGGCTTTTCGTTTGCCTCGCTACGTGCGTCTGGTCGGCACAATGACTACAGGGAGCATGAGTACCCAACTGCAACTCAAAATCGAACACTGCGCCAGCTCGAAGCTGGCCCTACCACTTGAGGTGCGCGCCGCTTTTTTTTTTATCGGGAATATGAAGTTCTCTTGTATATACACTCAATCATCAGCATCCGGTATGCTGACTATGACACATTTTTGCTCGCGTTTCACCAGCGTGCAAGACACGCCCATTGTTATGTACATTATTTTACTCCGGGTGGAATTGGTTATTTTGGAGTAGGTTTCGGAGTTTATTTGGGTTTTATGTGGTGTTCGTGGGAAACATGGTACTATATAATGGTTCATTGGTACTTGCTACAAACATATGGATTAGTTTGTTAATTCGACCGTCATATTCAAAATTAATATTACACTCGTGAAATTAATGGCTTAGAGACATCGACTCTCATACAGTAGTGTTATTTCTATACTAAGCCAGCAATGCGGACAGCATTGTCTAGAGAATAGATGCGCGAGAAAGAATCAAGGATATGGAAAGGAGAAAAGGAAATACGATAATGAATTGGATTTGGTTTGCTTATTATTTCTGAGTCCTTGCGCCGCTAACACCAGCACTTATGACACTAGGCAATTCGGCTTGTCCGACTTGAAATAGCAAACCAATCGCTGTACTTATAGCCAGAACCCCCATAACTGTAACACCTGCAATCAAGAAGAAAGGGGAACTGATGTCTCTCTTTTGGCATGCCGATCCTCCCCATTGTGCCTTTTGTATAGTGCCATCCTCTTTCCTAATGGTAGTTTCCTGACACTTGCATGTATAACAGTCGTTAACAGTTGTTTCGCCAGAGCCAGATTTTTTGTAACAGTATCCATGCCCTGAGCAATTATTCGTTGACTCGGAACAAGAAGATTCTGAAGCATAGCAAATGGGTGATAGAGCCACAGGGATTGGGTCCTGCTGCTCAGATCTCGAGTTGACTAGCTTGGCGGAGCTCCCTTTATTGACAAGTCTTCGGGCTTGCAGGTCTTTAATCAACCCAGTGGGCTTCGTGGACCTGGATAAAAGCAACGTCGTGACCTCTGAGGACGCAGCGGATAGATGTCGAAATAGCGATTTAAGGGACTCCGTTATGTTAACAGCATCAGAAGGCGTTTCTACAGGCTATAATGATGATTAGGTATTATTTCACTTGCGAGGGTATGGAGTAAGGCGTACCTTGAGCACGAGCCTCAGAAGTGTCTCTGATCGAGCAATGTCAACCCAAGATTCAAGCATATTAGTATGCTCGAGCAACCCCTTCTCGAGAGTTCCAAGGATATCCTGCAGAACCCGAGCATCTGAGAGACACTGTGAATCAATCTATTAGCGACTGAATATTTGGTGTACCTTTTCGTGGGTTCACTGGAAGAAGCATATGATTACCTTCAGAGCCTCGTACAGCTCGGTTCCGTCGTTACTCGCATAGAAACTACAATATCTCTCTTCGGACTCAGCAGAATCGCCGAATTTCATCTTAAAGCGCGACTCCAGAGAGGTTTCGATCGAGGAAGAATGTGGGACCACATTGATGCCAGCATACTCTGCTTGGACTGATGACCCTGCATATTAGAAGTCAGCGGTAACTTTTTAACCATTAAAACACTGAACAGTTGGCAGTGAATCTTACCAACTTCAGGTGCTATCCCTTCCAGGATAATGGTAGTTTTCCTGTTTTCTGATGTAGGGGAGACTCCAAATAACGGCAATGGTGTGCCTCCAAAGTGATTTAAGAATTTCACAGTCTCCTGGTCAATCCTCCCAAGCGTCGAAATATCAGGAGGTGCTATCTGAAGTTCCACAAGGCGTTGCACAGCCATATTTGGGTCCTCCAAGACAGGGAGGTTTGGATTGAATACGGACATGTCGAAGGCATTAGTCCCAGATGCGATTATCAGCCATTGCAGCAGAATACCGCGAATACACAGCATGCTGTCAAACAGGTCGCAAGTAGAGAATTTAAGACTACCTTAAAAGGCACTATGCAAAAGTAGTCGTTTGTTTGATGGAGATTGATAATATAGAGGTACCCCAGATACACTTGAAAGCGGTGTCATAGGAAATCACGTGTAAGCGGTCAGCCTTTGTTTAAGCATGGGGTACTCTCTAATGCTACACAACTTGAACGACTTCGTCAAATTTCAAACCAGCTATTCCCAAGTCGAAATATGAAAGTGACATCCTTTCAATAGCATATTTGTCGCAGCTTACCAATGATTCGAATTAGCCAATTTCTCCGGAATTCTCAGTTATCTTTCCGCATCAGCCCGCCGTTAGCTCGGAATTCAAGGCAACCCAATGTCCGCTATGTAAAATTCCAGAAACCATGGATCAGGTGGGCATCAAACACTGCTTCTTGCTTTGATATTGTATTTTTGTCCTGACTGGGCTTGCTTTACAGGAAAGTTTTCACTGCCTTTTTACTATATGGGACTGCTTTTCATCTATGGAGCTCGTTTGTTCTACTGCAATTTGATGCTGCACCCGAAGACGACGATGTGTCTCGGCGACCTAGCATGAGCGAGAAATACGCACGCACAAACAAAAATGAGAGCGATAAAGATACCACAGGTGATATGGAGGACTTTGAAGAGGACCCTATATATATCCCGTTGAGTTGGCCACGCAGACATGAGGGCAAATTCTATGCCGCATCAGACCCAGAATGGCAGGAGTTCATCAAACTTGCCAGAGACCAAAAAAAAATACGGTCATTGAAAGGTAAGTTACTTATAATTATCCAGGCATCTCGTCCATCTGTGCTTATACTTTGGAGATGAACTGGCAACGATCGTTTTGAATGATGCCTCTCGATCAAGTCTGCTTTCACACGTACTAGGACAACCCCTCAACATAACAGGATCCTGGTTACTGCACCATTTCCCATCACGTGCACCACCTGAATATGATCGACTATGGTATGCATATAAATATAGCTTTGATAGACCCCATTTCTGACATGGACCAGTCTGGATATTAGCGATACCGGCGTATACCTGGTGACGAAACGGATGCCTAGCGAGGATGGCGACAAGCTCCAGAGATTCATGCGACCTATTTCTGTGGTCCTCGCAATCAAAGATGCTTCTTTGGTTTTCTTTAGAAGGCAGCTCCTTCGGTTGCAGTCTAGGAACTCGGACCGAGAACACACCGCAAGCACATCGGATTTCCCGCACCCCAAGCATGCATTCTCACGAGATGCAGGGGATTTGAATGGGTTAAATCACATAACTCAATCTGAATCTCAATTACCACTTCCTGACGGTCATCAAGAGAAATTACCACGTGACAATGAACATGGTAATCTTCATCCATCATCGATTATCTCTTCTGTGCAGCGATTGCCACTGCCTGAATTTGGACCTGGATCCGATTTTTATCTTGCATTGCTAGCTTTCAAATGGCGATTGACTGAGAGTTGGGCTCGAGCGCCCCATACACCGCGCCGTGGCACATTTTATATTACTGGACCCGTGGGACTAAAAGGCCCAAGAGGATTTTGCAGGGTTGAAGTGAGAGGTGAATACGATCCAGCTGCGTCAAGTTGGACTGCTGTGAAAATTCAATTAAAGGATTTGAATGTTTTCAAGCAAAAGCCACTTGGTGGTCCATGATCAGAAACTAATACACCGAGGTATGACGAGGTATTAGCCACTTACTTGACGACGGACATATATGCAGTGCTTGCTCTACTTGTACATACCCCTGTGCCTACATAATACATAAAATTAGAATGTACATATACACTAGTGTGGATCTGACCAAATACAAATAATTGTCATTTCAAGTGACATGACGTCATATTGGGTAATATAGAATAACTAGATTAGACGTCTTATTGCTACAACCATCCACCCACTCTACGAGTATTCCGTACTCATACCTGGCGAAAAAAGAAAAAAGAAAGAAAAAAAGAGAACAGAAACACTCTTCTTTATTTCTCATTGCCCTTATTCTAACTCTGCGAGCGCAAAATGACTATACCTCCCAAATTTGTTGGTCAGAAGTTGTTGACAGCTGCTACTCAGCAACAACACACACTCGAATTATGTATGTAGTCCAAGGACTAGCAAGTGTCTTGATAGAAAACAAAACTGATTTTCTACGAAATATAGATCTCGACTACGTGTGTCCGGTGGGTTCCATCATAGTAGCAACTCGATTCTATACTGATTTGTCTCTCATTGCCAGTTCTCGGCAAAACTGTTCAACACATTTTACGCTTCAGTCAGACCTATAATTACTCAAAAGTATGCGTCGAAACTTCAGGTCATTTTTCGCCAACAAATACAGCCTTGGCATCCATCATCAACCTTGGTGCATGAAGCCGCGGCTGCTGTTCTAAGGATAGCCCCGGAGAAGTTCTGGCAATTCAGTGCCGACTTATTCAGGTACCAAGAAGAGTTCTTCGATGTGAATGTTGTTAATGAAACACGCAACAAGACCTATGAGCGGTTGGCAAATATTGCTGGAGGTGTTGGCGTGAATGAGCGCAAGGTTCTCGAGCTGTTGACTATCAAAGAAGAAGCCGAGAGTGGACAATTGAATGTCGGAAACGAGGTAACCAATGACATTAAGTTGATGGTCAGGGTAAGTATCAAAGAGCACATTTACTCCAAAAGAAAACGCACATTATCTAACTCTATATAGTTAAATCGTGTTGTAGGCGTACATGTGACCCCTACAGTATACTTCAACGTATGGTACCTGGTTTAACAAGCATTAATGTTCAGCGTACTGATATTTCCAGGGACTCGAGGAGCCGGGGATTAGTAGCAGTTTTGACGCTACCCAATGGGAACAATGGCTGACAAAGAATGTGACCTGATTGTCTCTCCCAAAGGTAGAGGATGAAACAAATGTATTTCAATGCCAATTCTATATGCCTTTCTTTCATTCCCACTATTTCCCCCATCTCGTTCAATGCTCCAAGATTCTGTATTTGAATGTAATCGACTGTGTTGAGCTTTGCTATAGATCATATGGTCATTAATTTCTATCATTTCTTGATTCTCTTTCTTTTCCTACCATAATCCCCCTCCCCTTTCAATAAGATAATAAGCTAAATGGATATCATTATGCTGGAACTTGCAAATAATCACTGAGACACTGGAGGCTGATAGTTAAGAGGGCGCCTGCAAGCATTAATTAGCCGTGAAGGTCATGCAGTTAAAGAAATATTTGGATAGTAGATTCTTACTTGAACAAAAGAATGTGTGGCTCTGGTTCATGCACTTCATAATGTTCCCATCCCAGGCTCTGCCAGTGGTGATTAGACTGTGATTTAGGAATCTGAAAACAATAAAAAACAGTAGACAAGTGAAACAACACGTCGTTCCTATCGTCGTCGTCGACAAAACCTCTTTCTGAACTTACCTGAGTAATACCAAGTGAACGCCACTCTTGCTCCCAAAGGAGTTTCAATGTGCCTTTTGCACTATCGAAATAATCGGCCGGAATTTTTTTGAGCATATCTTTTGGAAGTTGGACGTGGCGATATTCGTATTGATCATCGGAATATCTGCTTCTGTTCAATGCGTATGTTCTTGTCAAGGAAAGCTCAAAGGAGATAGGTACCTTGCTGAATAGTGTATAGAGTCAACGTACTCTCTAAGCCTGTCCACCTCCTCGTCTTCTAAAAGGCGAGGCTTTCTATTTCTCCTGCTCATATCGATATCCATTTGGAAGTGTGGGCGCGCGAATGCAATGTTGATACCTGCCTACATTGGTCAAATAATCAACACATGAACGGGAATATGTCCACCTTCGGGGCACAGAACATACTCCCCCCTGTTTGAACAACTTAGTCTCTGATCGAAAATAGCAACGCTGAAAGGTGTAAGGCTTGACTTCACTAACAACCTGGTAAAGGATCCTTTTTTGAGGTCGTCGTAGTTTTCGCCTTTCTTTCTCTTAGTTAAGAAAATAAAAAGAAGGGTGAAAAAGAAAAAAATAAAAAAAAAAGAGAAGATGCAAAAGAGTTATGTCAAAAATATATGGATGATCGAGCGCAAGTTAATAGAAGAAAGAAATACAACATGTAATTTCTCTCCGGTTGAGGCCAGAGAAATAGTAGTCACTAGTTCGTTTGGATGAGATTCAGACAGAAGATAATCCATTGACCTCTCTCGCCCCACATCTGCATATTCATGCCTGAGGCTTGAAACTCTATGCGGAGTATTCCATACATACCCCCCCTTGAACATTCATATCATTGCCAAACATTATTATAGGCTACAGTTAATTAAGCGTATATGGTGGTACAACTAAACAATATTCAAGGTGTAGAAACCCAACAACTTTTATTGATGATGCAGACCAGTTAATAATCAGCTCCAATTTCAAAGGGCACATAGTACAGAGTACTATGCATTTGAATGATTGAATCAAATGAGCAAAAAAAGTTCATTGTCAAATCAAGGATGCCATAATAATGTACTTTATTCTCCCCAACCATAACAACTATGAGATTATAGAATGCCTGAAAACTAAGGATCAGATACTATGAACAGTTTAACCTATGGGGCTCACAATCGAGTTTGACAGCTGGAAAATTACTGCTAGTATTTGCAATTCGAGGTCCAATATGAACTACTGTGTATGTGGGGGCAAACCTGCTACATACGGACCGACGGTCTTATATATACCACCTATATAAATTGCCATCCAACCTTCCCAATTCAAGAGATCCCTTCTGCAGGACATTGCCACATGTGTTGCTCACTCAGCTTGTCGTGTGAGGGCCCGTTCATGTTCATGTTCAAGTTCAAATATTTTAAGCTATCACCGGCCAGTAGCCTTTCCTACAGTAGACAGGATATCGTGTACATTTGTGCCCTGATGGACACTAGAAATCGAATCTACAATAAAGCTAATACCTGCACATGTTTTCATTGTTATCCTTACCACACCAGAGGCTAATATTAGGGTTCCTCAGCGTGGGAAATCTTGAGTGGCGGCTTATCTAATCGCTGCGTACAACCAAGGTCGAGGGAAAAAAAAAAAAAAAAAAAAAAAAAAAAAAAAAAAAAAAAAAAACTAAAGTGGGGCCCTGTCCTCTTTTTTTTTTAAAAAAAAAAATTTCAACCCGCTCCCACTTCTAACGCCCGGAGCGAATTTTTATTACTTCCCTTCCTCCTCCCTCCTCCTTCCACCTTCACACATCAACTCTCCTCCTGGCTTTGTTCATAGTATCTCCTATATTCAGCCATCATGTCTGACGAAGTCTACGAAGGAGCCATCGGCATTGACCTTGGTAAGTGTCCAGTAATTTACACACTAAAATTCTTCCACCATAGCAAAACGCTGACAATATTTTTTCCACTTTATTTCAGGCACTACCTACTCTTGCGTTGCCAACTATGAAGGCACCAATGTCGAAATCAGTATGTTTTAATGCTCTACCGTCAGGTACATGGATCGGAGGCTGATTTCTCTAAGTTGCCAACGAGCAGGGTAGCTACACTACCCCCTCTTTTGTCTCCTTTACCGACAAGGAGCGCCTGATTGGTGAGGCCGCAAAGAACCAGGCTGCGATGAACCCGCAGAACACCGTCTTTGATATCAAGTAAGGAACAATCCACAACTCGAAATAGGGTAAAGAACGCACGCCTAACAATTCTATAGGCGTCTCATTGGCCGACGCTACGAAGACCCGATTGTGAAGAAGGATGTTGAGTCTTGGCCCTTCAAGGTCGTCGACCAGGGAGGAAACCCTGTTGTGGAAGTCGAATACCTCGGCGAAAACAAGACCTTTACTCCCCAAGAAATCTCGTCTATGGTCCTTATGAAGGTAAAACTGCATTTACCGCAATATGGATCGCCCGTGCTAACAACGGGTAGATGAAAGAAGTTGCGGAGACCAAGCTCGGAAAGAAGGTGGAGAAGGCTGTTATTACAGTGCCAGCTTACTTCAACGACAACCAGCGCCAGGCTACTAAGGACGCTGGTGCCATTTCTGGCCTGAATGTTCTGCGAATCATCAACGAGCCTACCGCTGCAGCGATTGCCTATGGTCTCGGTTCCGGAAAATCTGACAAGGAGCGTAACGTGCTGATTTATGACCTGGGTGGTGGTACTTTCGATGTGTCTTTGTTGAACATCCAGGGCGGTGTTTTCACTGTCAAGGCTACTGCTGGTGACACTCATCTTGGTGGTCAAGACTTTGACACCAACCTCCTTGAGCACTTCAAGAAGGAATTCCAGAAGAAGACCGGAAAGGACTTGTCTGGTGACGCTAGGGCCCTTCGTCGCCTGAGAACGGCTTGTGAACGTGCCAAGCGTACGCTGTCCAACGCCACCCAGACCGCCGTTGAGATCGACTCTCTTTTCGACGGAGAGGATTTCAACACTTCCATCACTCGTGCTCGTTTCGAGGATCTCAACGCCAAGAGCTTTGCTGGTACCTTGGACCCGGTCCAGCAAGTCCTTAAGGACTCTGGACTTGCGAAGGGCCAAGTTGATGAGATCGTTCTTGTCGGTGGTTCCACTCGTATTCCCCGTATCCAGAAGCTCCTCAGCGACTTCTTCGATGGCAAGAAGCTTGAGAAGGTAAAACATCCAGATGATCAAGATCTGGAAATTTTAACAGGCTAACTGGTATTTACAGAGCATCAACCCCGACGAAGCTGTTGCCTACGGTGCGGCTGTGCAGGCTGGTATCCTTTCTGGAAAGGCCACTTCTGCTGAAACCCAGGACCTCCTCCTCCTTGATGTTGTTCCTCTCTCGCTTGGTGTTGCTATGGAAGGTAACATCTTCGCGCCCGTCGTTGCACGTGGCCAGACCGTTCCTACTATCAAGAAGCGCACTTTCACCACCGTCGTTGACAACCAGACCACTGTTCAGTTCCCTGTTTTCCAGGGTGAGCGCACTAACTGCTCAGACAACACTTCCCTTGGCGAGTTCACGCTGGCTCCTATTCCTCCAATGAGGGCCGGTGAGGCTGCACTTGAGGTTGTCTTTGAAGTTGATGTCAACGGTATCTTGAAGGTTACCGCAACCGAGAAGTCCTCTGGACGTACCGCAAACATTACTATTTCGAACGCCGTTGGTAAACTTTCGACCAATGAGATTGAACAGATGATTGATGGTAAGTTTCCCTAGTTCAATTTAGATTGCTCTATATCTGACTCCACAATAGATGCCGCCAAGTTCAAGTCCAGCGATGAAGCTTTCACGAAGAAATTTGAATCGCGCCAGCAGCTCGAGTCTTACATCTCTCGTGTCGAAGAGCTTGTCTCGGACCCGTCCATGTCCATGAAGTTGAAGCGTGGCAACAAGGAAAAGATTGAGTCCGCGCTTAGTGACGCCATGGCTCAGCTTGAAGTTGAGGATTCCACCCCTGACGACCTCAAGAAGAAGGAACTTGCCCTCAAGCGTCTCATGACTAAGGCCATGGCTACCAGGTAAATGTAAATATTGCTAGATCCTGGTATCAATAGCAGAGGGGTTGGCTGTATGCTTTCATATACAAGAGTGAAAGCCCCGATCTTGACTATTGATCGAAAATTATTAATCTGATTAAAAGCGCTGTCCTACTTATGACCCTTTTGGGGGTTGAGACTCTTTGTTATGATTGGGTACTGTCTTCCTGGATGAACGAGACTGCCCTGGGCAGTTTATGATTTTGATGAGCCGGCATACTGGTGGATCTGGTCAGATCTTGAGTTTGATTTCTAATTTGTTTTTCGTTTCCTTTTATTTAAAATTGTTCACATATTAGATTCGGTCAGACGACTGTAAGGTGTTGACAAAAGAATAAAAGTGGCTTAGTTGTTCTGCTGTACGCCGTCTCTCCAGTTGATTGATGCTTCCTCTGAATATCATGTGGGCCTTGGACATAAAAGACTTAGTAAACTTACTATGCAGAAAACTGATAATATGTCAACCACCCTAGAAACTACCTCTTTCGCTTTTTTTTTTTTTTTTTTTTTTTTTTGTTTACGGGTTAATTCTTAAGTTGGTCACAATGCAACGTAGCTTGGCAAGTTCCAGCCTTTCTGGCCTCGTCCGAAGTCGTTTTATATCCACAAACTCTCAGATTATAAGTCGATCACAACCTTTGTTACCACTGTATAACCTGGCTGTGCCAAGCGGAAAGCATGTCTTTTCAACTTCCTCTCCTTTATACAAAAAGAAAGACAAGTCAAAGAAGGGCACTTCTGCTGCTGAGTCTGAAGCAACCAAGTCCTCAAACGGTGTTGAGGCCTCAGACGACCCTTTTTCTCTCTCTCAGCTGCAGGATGACATTGTGGCCGCCGTCTTCCGTCTCAAAGATGATCTTTCTAAACTCCGCGCTGGAGGGAGATTGAACACTGAGGCCATCGAGAGTCTTCGGGTTCAGTTAAGTAAGGGGGGCAAAGACACTGTCAAACTGGGAGAGCTGGCACAGGTTGTTCCTAAGGGAGGACGAATGGTCACTATTCTTGCTGCTGAAGAGGATGTGAGTTTGCCCCCATTGTTTCTTGAATACAACATTCGCTGTGCACAAAACTTTTTCCTCCCTTGATTCTAACTTGTGTCAAAAGCATGTTAAACCGATCAGTTCGGCAGTCATCTCGTCCAATCTTTCCTTAAATCCTCAGCCAGATACTCATAACGGCCTTCAACTCAACATCCCAATCCCCCCGCCGACGAAGGAATCCAGAGATAAAACAGTACAACATGCAAAAGCGGCAATGGAAAAAGCATCTGGAACCATCCGCGACTCAAGAGGTGCTGTGCATAAACGTCTTCAAGAGATGCAGAAGAAGAAGATCGCCAGGCCAGATGATGTTCGGAAGGCACATGACAACATGGGGAAATTAACAGAGAAGGGACAGAAGGAGGTAAAGGATCTGTTTGAAGCAGCCAAGAAAGCGTTAGAGCAGGCATGAGCGACCTACGACGACTATCACGGCAACCCAATTTGCAGCCTCGAGACATGAGAGTGCCGGTTCGTACTATAATTGCGTGAATAGACTGGTTGATGTTTGTCATATAATTTTCATATTCCCTGAATACTAGATACATTACAGAAGAAACATTTCTTTAAAGAAAATATCTGACAATTTTGGAAAGATATGGCTACTAAACAAGGAAGGAAAGAATATAGTACATCATGTATCATCCGTTCTATGCACGCTTGGCAGGGCGGCTCGAAGCAAGAAGCGACTCAACTTTAGTGAGAAATTGTGTGCTTTTGCCGGCAGTTCGGTATGTTTCGTTGTTCCTGAGATTGGCAATGATGCCCCCAAGAACTGCAGGTTTATCAGCCTGTTGAGTCTCCGGCCTGGGGTAGATTCCCTGGATGAGACTCTGTACCAGAACCTTTCGGTTCTCAGCATGCATTGGGTTGAACTTGATTTCCTCGGGCTCCACAAGATCCCCCTTTCGTTGTGACAGTTTGTCTGCACGTTCTTGTGCAAGCTTCTTGGCCTCTTTTATAGCCTGGGCCTTTTCCTCCTCGCTGAAGAAACGAACACTTTGTCCCTGATACAGTCGCCTGCCCAGTTCATGTGGTGGAATATATCCGTCTGCGAAGCGTCCGCTTATTGATGATAGCTTTTCTAGGACACCTGCAGTCTGTGCGGTAACATCGGTTGGTAAAGAAGGCCATGTTTCTTGCATCGTCGAGAAGTCATGCGCCTGAGGTGCGTATCGGACAGGTACCGACCTCGACTTCTCTGCAAGTTCTTGGTGGACGGCTTCAATTTCTGCTTCCCGAACATCATCACCTTTCCCCGCTCCCAACTGACTCCTGGGTGCTCTAGGACGGCGGGGTTTTGGGGAAGACTTCTTGAATTTGCGAGCGCCCGCCTGTACTCCACCTCGAGGGTATTGAAGCCTAGGTCCTCGAAGAACGTTTGCTTGGCCACCAGTCTTGGAAGCAGCGAGGGCTCTTGCATCAATCACATGTGGTAGACGAGGACGAAGTCGGCTTGCACTGGCATCCTGAGAGCCTGTTTTCACAGGCGGAATGTTAGGCCTTTTGCGAGGGCCAGGGCGGGGTGTGAGACGAGGACCTACGAAAGTACACATGAGCTTTCGGATGGCAATAACAAGACTAGCGGAAACATTGAGGTACATAAAAAGGATGAAGGATCATAGGACTGCTATAAAACGAAGAACACGTACCTGGCGGTTGATCTGTTACCTGCTTCGTTACGGAGAATTGGCGGAACGAGGTGATGATTCCCTCCACCGAACGCTGGTGTTCATTGTACAGGAATACTGGGCGCAACTGAGTTCGAAGCATTTTTAGTCTCCCCTGCTGCAGTAGCAGCGACGACCAACTTGAGCGAATGGTGTTGTGACGACGACGTAGATTCGTGCTGCCCGCGTGCCCGAAAAGTTGAGAATAGTTGAATTCCCGGGTAAAATCACGTGAATTTTTAGTGTCCACCGTAAACATACATGGAAGAGTGCATTGGAGCCACAACTGAACCATTTTATTTCTTTCCAGCAATATTGCCTTGAAAATAGCCTAGTTGCGCTTTTAACTTTACTGCAGCTGGACTCTACAATTGTTCACCAAAGCCCGACAATGCTTCGTCGCAAACCTACGGCAATAGCAGTGACATCCGAAGACCTTGCTGCCTTTGAAGACGCACGATTACGCAAACTAGCCAAAGAAAACAACAGTCAGGCTCATGTCGAAAACAGTTCCAATTCCCATTTTGATCCGAGTGACGAGTTGAAACCACTACCGGGAGACAAAGCAAGAATTGTTCGGTCTCGCGAGGAGCGGATAGGAATCCGGCGCAACTGAAAGCCCTTCTTCCCAGCCAATTATAGGAGAAACGAGTTGTTTATCAACTTTCCCTAGTGCCTTTCGACTGAGCGAAAGCACCTTGCAACCTCATCCATGCCTGCCTTCACGAGAAGCATGATTCTATTGGGAAAAGGCCCAAGATGTCGTCTCCAATGTCGTACTTTTTTGTTTCGAATTTCATTGCACCGTCTACAACTAGAAATCTAATGTACATAACTCTTGGGATATCGCCTCCACGGGTTATTGTTCTTGAAAATAAAATACGGAGAATCGAAACATAGAAATCACCTTGATATACACAAGAAGCTCATAATGAAAAAAGAGGTGCCGGAAGATCAACCCCAGCTGTGCTTCCCCAACAAAAGTGAAAGAAAGACGCCTGCTTTCTGATGACAAACCTACCCGCGAAAAGCGCAAATTCCATCATTGATAAACCTATAACCGTAGCAGCTGGCATTGCAATATTAAGAACCAAATGACGGCCCATGTGAATGGAATAAAAAGAGGGGAATATGATTGTACCACATGATGTTGCTGCATCCGATGAAAGATGTTTGATAGGGTGATAACATGTGAGTACTTTATGCCATCCCACATACCGAGAAAGGAGCCATAAACTGTGGGCTCTTGGTATAGTCGTCCCTTCTCGTACAACGGACGATTGAACGGGAAGCAGAGAATGTGTAGAGGCAAGCCTGCCATATTCACCGTTGCCGTTTCGACACATTCTCCATTCCCATGTCAACAGAATAATTCCATCTCCTCTTCAAACCATGGGGATCAAACACACTGGCAACACTCTGCTGCCAGTCACGGGCTGTGATCATAGAGTGCCTTCCGGTAAACTGGGACTGAGAGATGGATTGAGGTGGCGTGACCGAGGCCACCTTGGCCGGTGACCCGTATTGGACAGGATAGTGAGTTTGTAGGGGTGGCTGCATGCCCTGCACTGGGTTGCTTAGGCTCATTGGTGGCGAATTCGTACTGACAGTAGACGGATCAACCGAAAACGCCATTTCCCATTGACTAGAAATATAGTTAGCAGATTTTCTGAAGTAGACCGTTTTTAGGCTATTTTCCGTACTTAATAATGCGCGTTGGGTCCCAACTGTTTTCATCCACTAGCGGAGCTTCCATCGAGGGGTGGTTCGATACTGGGTGAGGCGTCATCATTCCCAGGGGCTGCAGTTGGGAGGAATCGGACTTTGCGTCTTCAGTACCAGTGGACATTGGAGGTGAAATTGGATAGGCATTATAACCCACTCTGCTCTGAACGCTTCCCGTGAGATGATTCAACGGTGGAGTATATTGTGAAGAGTCAAACGGTGGAGGACTCGGGTGATATGGCTCGGAGGGACTCCCATATGGGAACGTGGATTTTAGCTCAAATGGGCGGTTGACATCCGCAGAGAATGCTAGACGTAGAGAATCAATCTGTGCCTGGATCTCTGGCATAGGCCAAGCGGCAGAGCATTGCTCGAGGATACGCATATGCCGTGTGAAATAACCTCTCGCATCCGTGTGGAAATGCGGATCAGGAGACGTTATTGCAATCTGAAGTGTGTGTGGGTTAGCAAGTGATATGCTAAGTGCGGAATAAGCTAACACCTACCAGATGCAACATCGTGCAGGTCAAGATGCAGTAAATAGCAAAGTTAATGCCCCTTTGCATGAATAGTAGGCCCGGAAGACCGTAACTGGCCAGTATGGCTTCCTGGAGCCTACATAGGCATTTCGCTGAGGAGTAGCATAATTCAAAGTGCCCTTTCCAGCTCCCCCCGGCAGAGAAAGACTTGGACGCGATTAATTGGGGGCGATGAAGTAATATAATCCCTAAGTGACAATGCGAATGCATATTCGCAACAAAATGCGATGGTATCCAGGGTGGCGTTCCATCGGCGGGATAATTTACCTGTAAGTCCGGAGGCATGCCGTGGAGCCAATTTGTGAACAGGGGATTCTTCTCAACAAACCTGGGGTCGGCACCCCAGTCTCGTTGTTTTTTTATCTTGTGGTATATGTCGGTGATGATGCGGATGTTGTTGGCATTCTGAACAAAGTAAGCATACTGTCGAGAACGGTCAATCTCGAACTGGTCAAGGCCTTTAATGTCCAACATTGGTCGCATGTCCACAGTATCCGGGTCTACGCCATAGTCCGAACGACCTAATATGAAACAGGTTAAAAGTTGTACAGGCAATGCTGGACGAGAAGGATGAATACATACCCTGCGGTGCTCCAATCATGACTTCGACGACAAGCAAGGCCTGCCACACCCTTGTCTGTACCAAGCATTCCACTGGTTGTAAATCACAGGGTCTCCCTTCCGCATGGACACTGTAATGTTCATGGAGATCCAAATCCTTCGCCATGGAGACTATAGTTTTCACCGTCTGCCAAGATCTATAATAGTAGCCTTTTTTCGGCAATGATTCTCTAGCTTTCAGTAACAGAAGCATTGCCTGAATTGTACTCAGACGCGGTACATCCATAAAGCTAGGCTCATGCCCTGTGAATGTGCATTAGCACAAGCTTGAATTAACCAAACGAGATCAAAACTGGGTAGCTCACTGTTCGCCAATGCAAGCCACTGGGCTCCCTGTGCAGGATCGTCTGACAGTCTGCCTGCACATGCAAACAACGCTTCAAGGAGGAGAGGAGATATCGAACTCCGGTCATTTTGCCATTGATAATACAAGTGAGACCGGTGAATCGCTGGGACGTAGGGATGAATGTCATCGAAATATGTTTTAAAGTAACTCATCACCTCGTCATCGGGTGGCATAAGTTCGGGAGGGATTCGAATCGCAGACCCTGCGCCTGTGCTAAGTGGCGGCAGTCTTTCCTCTGCATCATCTTGAATGGGGACTTCCGGTTCCGACCGATCTTGTCTTTGCTGCCTAATATATGGCGCTTTGGAGAAAAAAAAAAAAAAAAAAAGACTTCAGTTTTCGATCCCCCAAAACACTTAATTGGGGAGAGGAACATCATACCTATACCAGTCTCGTCAATCTTCAGCTCACCAAGTACCTCGCTGAGGTTTTCCGCAGTGGACTGGTCGTTCTCGAGAAACAGGCTATTGTCTGGAGTGCCCAAAGATTGCTGCTGTGTTTGAGACGCAGAGAAAATCTGCGACTGTTGGTAGTGGTGTTGCGGCTCTGCGATGGGCGGCGACCGGACATCGCCATAAATACCGGGTTGAGTGTGAGGGGGTGGCATGAATTGGGAGAACACGCCCATCCCATCATTGTAAGGTTGAATGCTCCCCATCGGAACTTGGCCACCATCACGGAAGGTCTGAGGCATGGGGAAAGCATGGTGGGAGGGCTGCTGTGTACTAGGTGGACCTAGAGAGCCTGTTGGATCGGATTCAACAGTTTGCCCAGTGGGAAATTCAGACTCCTGCCCGACAGTGGGAGGCACGCATACTAGCTTCAAACGGGTACACGCGGAGCAAGGCCATGTATTTGTCGTAGCTGCATCGCATTTGATCTTCCTTTTTCTACAACCGTTACAAGCCCGCATCACTGGAGTCACACGTTAGATCGAAGCCCACCAATCAAGCACGCAGACGGATCGCATACCCTTCAAACGTTTGTGTCTGTTGTGTTCATCCACAAACACATAGTCTAACACACGAGTATTCTCCGTTAGCACCCGCTTCGTCTCGGGTCTCCGAATGTGGCGGCAATTTGCCATGCATCGAAGTATGCTTACTTTTATGACCCTCCCTTGGGGGACCGGATGGGGGTGCGAATGAATAGCCCTGCATTTCCCAAAACAAAGAACTGATATAAAGCAAATATGTCTCCGCAGCTTGCTAACGGAGAGCCCAGTCGGACAAAGGTTTATTGCGACAGGATATGAGCCGTATACAACCGGTGCGCAAAAGGTTATTATTTTGGTGTAAACTGCATGTAGACCGGTCGATATCGAATGAATCGAAATATGATTAAAATAATGCACCCAAGCGGGGAACGCGAAAATTAATCAACTTTAGAACAGACACTGGACGCCTCGCGCTTCTATCGCTTGAAGTCGCAAGTTTCGAGAGTTGGGCCGGTGATTTAGTGCAATGAGGAGTATGTTAATTAAGCAATATCGATATCGCTCTGGAGATGACGATCGAGTGGCGCAAGTCTGATAAGGACGCGGTAAGATGCAATTTTCGTCCGCGAAATAAGGAAAAGCGACAAAAATATTGGGTTAAGGGATTGAGACTAAAGACTAGGTTCAAATTGTTCGTCAGTCATACCCTGTGAGTATTCGGAGTCTCATAGGATGAACAAGGGCAAAATGAGAAGAGGACAGCAAGCACAGTGGCATTTGGAGGAGGAGCTGGTTTTCAGCTGCCTCTTTTTCTTTTTTCTTCTTCTTTCTTCTGTGACTTATACAAAATTCCTTTATGTTCAAAAGGAAATTATGTGCAACTTCCAGTGGCTGTTGACAGCGAACACCCTTGGATGAGACAACCGGAGAAAGCCAAAAGCAAACAGGAAACAGCAGCAAAATAACATATGATAACGAGGGCGATGTGGCTTACAGTGAACAGGCAATGAGAGAGGAATGACGCTGTTCTGGTCTGAATTTGTAGTCTACCATCATCAGTATATTAGGTCATTGGTAGAATTCCGGTTCAAAGAATGCAACGATCCAATTGGGACGCGATTTGAACGTCTGCAAGGAAAGAGGAGAAGCAAAGCGGGTGGAGGGAGGAACAGGAAGCAGGATGGCAAAGGAACGAGTGATGTTCAGGGAATCCAATTTAAGCAAGAGGGGGAAACATGGAAAGCCCACCAATGCACACGACAGTTCGCAAGACCTGAAAAGGCGTGTAAGAAAAGGATTCGGATTTGAATAAGAAGTAGTCTAGTAGTTCATGGCGCGACTTCTGGAGTTGGAGATTTCGGATGGCGGATTGAAAAGGGACGTAACGTAGTAGCGGCGATTGATAGCACGGCGGCAGTGGTAATAGCAATAAAAGGGCGGTAGCAATATGTACAAAGTCAATACAGACTGTACTGTGTACGGAGTACGAAGTACCGTATGTATGGTCAAAGATGATAAGTGGTAAGGATGTGATAAAAAGGAAAAACAAGATAGGGAAAGAAACCGAGGATTACTATATTATATAAATATAATACTTAAAAGAGCTGGATGGTAATGATGAACGGTGGACGAGGGGGGAAGAGAGAGAGAAAGAGAGAGGGTGTGTGTGTGTGTGTGTGTGAGATGAGTCTCAAAGGAGTAGTGACGGGCGGAGACCGACCAAGTGCGGGACACAGTTATTAGTAGTACAGTTACAGAGTACATAGCAAAGAAATATGCCTGCTTAATATCCAATTTGGTGAGAAACGGATAGACCATACTCTCGGACCCTGATATGATCATTACCGAAAATCTTCCTATAAATGGGTTGCGGTAGTACTCGGTGATCTTTTAAGTCATCCTAATGTGAGTATAAAGTATTATTACAGAGTTAATACAAGTAAGTACAGTGGTATGTACAAGTACATGCAAGAGCGTACTCCAAAATCCGTCAGGTACTTACTCCAAGGTCTCCGGTGATCGCCGTAGTAATATTGATTAAGGCAGTCTCTTTCTGGATAATGCTAGCGTCCCAATAGTTAGCATCCGGGTCCGAGACATCAGGACATGGTGATTGGTTCCGGAGCCCATGAGTTCCTTTGGTGCAGGGTCGATCCGAGAAGACAGGATTCCGTTCTTGGAAATAGCTCACTGCATATTCCATTCTGTTCTTTGATTTTTTTTTTTTTTTTTTTTCAACTCTATCATGGATGAAAGAAACCTAACAACTACAGAAGACCGTAGAAAGCTTCACCATCAGTACAAGTACGAATAATGTTTGTTCTGTGTAAATGACAACTATTGTAGATCGTTAGCAGCTTGCCTCGGTTCGGGATATTGCATACGGAGTACGAGGTATTACTTCGTACATGGTTTAATGATGTTTAGCTGACAGTAAGCATAAAGCATAGAATACTTACTATGCCCCTGCAATAATACAAACTACTGCTGTTGGAGTACTCCCGTGACATATTGATACCCCTAATACAAAAGTCACGGAGAACCCTGTGGTAGTTGACCTTTGCTGGCGAGTGATTCATTTCAGCACACTACGGACATAATGATATACTCGGTGATGTATACTCCATACAAACATTTGCCCATGCTATGTGAAACTGTTGTACTCCGTAACTAGTTAGTTACGGGGTACATTTCTAAATGTAAAACGGCGCAAAGTTAATCCGAGATTAGACATGACCCCTCTATCAAAGGCCATCAATTTCTTAGAAGTACCAAACCGACAACAAACAAAACTAAAATGGCATCAGAAATTCAAAACTCCAATCCCACCATATTGAACGCTGCGGATCTTCCTACCCGGCTACGTCCCGGTGCTCCTCGTAAATCCGGTGCCTATGGCACTGGCATCTTTACGTCTGCTCTTCCTTCTGCCACAAACGCAAATGACCCGTTCGCCTCTTGTCTATATTTGTCGGAGACATCTGACAGTGAGGATGAGTTGATGGAAGAGCCCATCGATGAGCAGGAGATTTATGGTAATTCCACCATCCTTTATCTTCGGTGTATATATAGAAAAAGCTTACTGATGATTGAACATCCAGACCTTATATCTACCATCTCTGACCCGGAACACCCTATTTCACTGGGTGCGCTAGCTGTCGTCTCTCTTCCTGATATCTCTATTAAGCCCTCGCTTCCCAACGTGCCGGAGTCACCCCTTCGGACAGTCACGGTGCTGATAACGCCGACAATAACCCATTGCAGTTTAGCGACAGTGATAGGTTTGGGTGTGCGCGTTCGATTGGAGCAGTCGCTTCCTCCTCGGTTCCGTGTAGATGTGCGGATCAAGGAAGGCACTCACAGTACGGCTGATGAAGTCAACAAGCAGTTGGCCGATAAAGAAAGGGTGGCCGCTGCCTTGGAAAACGGAACCTTGATGGGTGTTATCGCGAAGATGTTAGAAACATGCCAATAATCCTTTGGACTTCCTCAGCGAGACTTCGAATTGTTTTACGCGTGCACATGGTGCGATAGACGGCATTCTCTAGTGTAACTATCGCAAAGGGAAGACGCTTCATTTAATATAATGCGCAGTGACCGATTCTCGCGTACATGCGGTTCTCTTTTGTTTTCGGGATTTCGGGAGGAGACCCCAACTATGACATTACAAATGCATAAAACAATGTGGTTATGATATGTGATAACCTAGCCGCCCTATACTCGACTATATGATGGTTTAAGAGTCCAGAACGCCACTTTCCTTCAAGCTCTTCCAGAGCTCCGGTTCCAAAAATTTGCTCACCGTCACATCCTCCGCCAAACCCTTTCGTCGTCTTGTCTTCAAGACAAAATCCCGGGCAGTGGCCATAGCCGGTGCCATCTCCAAAGGTCTGAGTTTGACATCACGATCCAGGGGATCTCCGGGAACCACGCTCCACTTTTCGAAAACAAGACTGACCGCAGCCTGTCCCTGAGTGTGGATTCGAAGATCAGTCTCAAAACCAAAGGAGTCGATCACAGGGATCAATCCACGGACTGAATAAAGTGGAGTTCCGGCAATTGGCCCGTCCGAAAGGACATGTCCTCTCCTGCGTGAGAGAACCGTGTACACAGATGCAACGGCGTCAGCAGGGCCTGTCATATTGCATGAATAAATGGGCTCCATAAGGCGAGGAGATGCCATAAGGAAAGACGAGTAGATGGCACGTCGGACCGTGGGAATAATCTGACCGCCTCCTCGATAAATTGCTTGATCAGCAAGAGAAACGTCGGTAAGCCGGAATTTGGCATTTCGAATAGCTTGTATCTCTCGTTAGCTCAAAACTCGTTTCAATATGGGCAAATGTTCTCAATTAATGCAAAGGAATAAAAAGGGTTATACTCACGCTCTTCACAAAGTGGGCCCTCCCTGGTACCCCAACCGAAGCCTTGCGTAATAGAATCTCTGACTGATCCAAGAAGCTTCTTGTCGACTTGTGATGGTAGCGTGTCATCTTGGAGTATATTCGGCCCCATTTCATCCGGACCAAAGGCCCATATGCTTCTGGCAGCGAGCTTGTCCCACTCGTAGTTATCCTCAAAGTAACGTGCTACCTTTCGGATAGGGTCCTTGATGCTGACCTTACCACTCTCGATATCCTCGGCGATACCATCATCCAATGGCTCTGCAATCATGGTGACCTTATTCTTCTTATTTGGTGTGATGGAGTAGCACATGATAGCAGAGGTCTCGACGACAGTTTCACAGAAGCGCGTGACAGGGTCTGACACCTTGATTTCCATCTCCGAGTACAGTCGACGGAGATCATGAAGTACACAATCCATGTAGAGCTCGCCAGTACCCAAGACCACATGCTCACCAGACTCTTCCACTTTGGTGGATATTAGAGGGTAGCTCTTGTTGACCTTGCGCAGGCCATCAAGCATCTTGGGTAATTCGGATGGATTGACCGGCTCAACCGCAACTTTGAATACAGACTCGGTGATATGCCGAATAGGCCTGAAGATGTAGGCTTCCTCGTCATCCTCGAGTTTGAGAGGCATCAGGGTTGCGGTCTTGACAATGGAATCATCCACACCCCCTAGAAGCACCCAATTACCCGCAGGGACACCGCTCGTCGGAATGTTATAGCACGTTTCTGCGATCCATGTGTCGGAAATGGTTGCAATAACCATGTCTTCCTCATCTTCGGGTGTATAGCCTTCGCCCAACACTCGAACCTGCTGGCCAGGCCGTGCTGTGCCACTCATAATTCTTCCAAATGCATGGAAGCTGGCGGCATCTGTGGTGTTGAAGAGCTTCGTAACATGGACAACAAGGGGACCATCAGCGTCACAGGCGGCCATGGCAGCTCCTACCTTCGTATCGAGTGGGCCCGTGTAGTACCGATCAAGTTTCTTTTGCGCGCCCTCCACCGGGGATGGGACATGCTGGATAATCATGTCCACGAGGCCAGTTGCAGGACCAAAGAATTGTTCACAGACCAAACTAAGTAGCTCCTTGGCATCGGTCTTCAGCTGTGAAGGCTTAAGGTTGATGCCCACGCTCGCAAGCGTTTCCTTCAGGTCTTCCGGACTTTCACTAATCGTGTGCGAGTAGAGCTTGTAGATGGGTTCCAGGACGAATTTCACAAAGGTACGCCTCGAGTTCTCCTCGGCTCCTTTCCGCATGAATTTTCGGCTATTTTGATTGAAGAAAACATCACCCCAAAGACGTCGAGCAAACTCGTTCGTATCGATTTGAGGGTAAGAGTCGGCATATGTCTTGGCGAATGACTGCAATGTGAAGCACCAATTCATGGAACTACACGCGAAAGCAACGTTTCCTTTCTCAGGACTTAGTCGTTTCTTTTCGCCTTGGCCCGGTAAAACATTCTCGATTACCGTGTTCACTTCCTCAATCACATGTTTCAGCTTGAAGTAGGCATCGTTGGGTGGGATCTTCAGCTCCAGAATCAATCTGTCCATCTTGTTCACAACCATCGTCATTGGGAGGTCCTCCAGGACGGCATGCTTGATTATTTGTTCTGTATTGGCCTGTACCCCTTCCACGACGTCAACCACGAGTACCACACCATCCGCTAGTCGCACTGATGCAGCTACCTCATCCACAAAGTTTACGTGTCCCGGCGTGTCAAGGATGTTGAAAAGATGGGATTTTCCTTTTGTGTTTTGAAGAATCAAGCTCATCGGCGCAGACTTGATGGAAAGTCCTCGTTCGCGCTCCAGGAAATGGATGTCAGTATACCGAAGCTGCTCCTCCTTCCGTCGGCCTATTCGCTTTTCTAGACGCTCGGTCAAATCGTGCGTTTGCGCCACGAGCATATCCATAAACGCCGTTTTTCCATGATGGAGGTGGCCGACAACCGCGATATTCCTTGTCTGGTCTGGGAAATTGAGTAAATCGGTCATAAACTCTCGTGAATAGTAAACTGGTGGCAATTCGGCTTCCTCAAACGCGAACCTCTTTTGTTGGACCGGGGCAATTATCGGCTCAGACAGCGGCTGCGTGTCTTCTTCTTGTACAAGCGTTTCAACATCTGTCCCATATACCTGCTGCGCACTAGGGTAGTATTGTTTATCTTCATGTAAAACAACGGCATTTGAAGGACCCTCTGTTGAATTGGAACAGGTCAGTACCAGAGCAAAGGCTTGATTCCGGTGCTTGACTACTAACCATCGACCTGCATCAACTGTTGCTCATTAGTCTCGTCCTCATCCTCATCCTCCTCAAAAGCCTCTTCGAAAGAAAAAGATTGCGGCTGAGTCTGCTCATGTTGCACTTCCTCATCCGACTCTTCTGCGCCCCCGATGTAGTTACCAAATCTGAAGAAATCGCGTCAGTCTAAACGATAATTTCCAGGATCACAAAGTTGACCAAGAAGAAGAGGCGATCTGGGCGACATACTCATCGTAGAGATCATCCATGTTGGACAATGTTGGGAGGATTGGCAGCTCGCTGCTTCTTTTTTGTTGGACTCGCGCTTTTTCATTAGAGTCGGTCGGCCGAGCTTACTGAGTGGCCCGAGCTCGGTGGCCGCTCGTTGGTTGCACACGGTGACACGCCCCTCTCTCCGATAGCGCTTAAATGGCTAGGAGTAGGTCCGGGTCAGTATTCGTTTTCTTCTTTTCTTCCCTTGTCCTTTCAGCAATCGTCAACCAGGATTTATTTTAAACGGTCTGCAGTCGGGGCCTTTTTTATTCAATCGTTGCTCTCGTGGATCCAGATATATATTACATTTACTTCCACTTGTTTGACAAGAAACCCTCTACATAATACAACATGGCTTCTTCTCTCCCCCCCGTTTACATCGCTGCCTCTGCCCGGACTCCTGTGGGCTCATTTCTCGGGTGAGAATTCTTGAGACCTTGTCGAATTCCAACAAGTCAAAACGAAACTAACCTCGTTTTTCTTTCCTAGATCTCTTTCGAGTCTGACTGCCCCGCAGCTTGGTTCTCATGCCATCAAAGGTGTGCCACTATATAGTCCTTCCATGTGCACTGATGTGGCCATAACAGATTTTCTAATATCTCTTGTTCATAGCTGCTCTTGGGAAGGTAGAGGGTCTTAATCCGTCGGATGTCGAAGAAGTTTTCTTTGGCAACGTTCTCTCCGCAAAGTGAGTTGGCCTTTCTCTCTTTTCTTTGGGCCTAAGTTGACTTACTTCTCCTTCCAGTGTTGGACAGAACCCCGCCCGACAGTGTGCCCTTGGTGCTGGACTCAACGACTCGACCGTTTGCACTACCGTCAACAAGGTTTGCGCCTCTGGCTTGAAAGCTATCATTCTTGGAGCGCAGACCATCATGACCGGAAACGCCGATGTTGTCGTGGCTGGTGGCGCGGAATCCATGTCGAATGCTCCTCATTATCTCCCAAACCTCCGCAATGGCGCTAAATATGGCCATCAGTCTCTGGTGGATGGCATTATGAAGGATGGGTTGACTGATGCTGGAAAGCAAGAGCTCATGGGTTTGCAGGCTGAGGAGTGTGCTCAGGACTATGACTTCAAGCGTGAGGACCAGGATGAATATGCCATTCGCACGTACCAAAAGGCCCAGGCTGCCCAGAATGCTGGTCTTTTCGATGACGAGATTGCTCCCATTGAAATTCCTGGCTTCAGGGGTAAGCCTGGCGTGACTGTGTCCCAGGATGATGAGCCGAAGAACGTGAGCGATCCTGTTTTTCTTTCATTCAGGTGCCATATCTTGAATTTCTAGCTGACAGGTTTGGTTTAGCTCAATCCCGACAAGCTCCGAGGCATCAAGCCTGCTTTCATCCCTGGTTCTGGAACCGTGACGGCTCCTAACTCTTCTCCTTTGAATGATGGTGCTGCTGCTGTTGTCCTTGTTTCCGAGGCCAAGTTGAAAGAACTCAACCTGAAGCCTGTTGCCAAGATCCGTGGCTGGGGTGATGCTGCTCAGCAGCCCAGCAAGTTCACCACTGCACCATCGCTGGCTATTCCCAAGGCCCTCAAGCACGCAGGCTTGACCCAGGATGACGTCGATGCATTTGAAATCAACGAAGCCTTCAGTGTTGTTGCTCTTGCCAACATGAAGCTTCTCGGTCTCTCTGAAGAGCAGATCAACGTCCACGGTGGTGCCGTGGCTCTTGGTCATCCTATTGGTGCTAGCGGTGCCCGTATTGTGGCCACTTTGCTCGGTGTTTTGAAGGCAAAGCAGGGTAAGATTGGTTGCGTTGGTATCTGCAATGGCGGTGGTGGTGCAAGTGCCATTGTTGTTGAATCTCTTCTCTAAACGCAAAAGACGACTGGTTTATGAAAAGACATTGCTTGTTATCAGCATAATATGTTAAGCGGAACATAATGAGGGACAGTATAATGGGATGATAATTCATGATATGTACAGGTGCTTGACTTTTGACTGAACCATCGCATTTTACAGTGTTTCGTTTAATATAACCCTAGTTCAGTCTTAAAATTTCCCTGGGCTTTTCTGCATAATCCTTCATCCAAGGATTCCATGCCTTATGAATATAAATAATGTTGGAAAATAACCTGTTTGTATATACAGACATGGAGGGCGCTCAAACAAGCCCGAATAGCCAATTCAATAAAGCCAGTATTATCATCCAAGCAGACTCATACATACAGAGGGAAGATAAATTGTTCTATTCAAAAGAGGCTAACAAAGCAATGAAGATAGGTCGAACTGTCTGACCAACTATTCTTACGCAAAAGCACCAACTAACGCCATCAACAAAGCTCCACTTGCAACTGCAATGCAAGCCTCGATGCGCCGCTTGCCTCTCAGAGTTTCGTAGCTTGATTCGCTTAGGAAATCTTCAGCGAGAAGTTCTACCAAGCCAGCAAAAAGCAAGAGACCGCTGCTGATTGCATTCGTTATACCCACCATGAGTAGACCTGCTGTACTCGTGGGATCATAGAGATTATGCATAAACAATCCGATAGCCTGTCCAATGGGAGTCGTGGTACCGTATGCGAGACACATAAGCCATGGTTTCATGGAGGTTGGCGAAAACAGATCTGGAATAAGCGAGGCAATGCGTGACCCAAGAGCGAATCCTTCAAAGGTTTGGTGGAAAGAAATGGCGACTAGCAGCACGACAAACGAAGCCCCCGTAGCGACGCTGACTGCCATTCCAATAAAGATACTGTGGAAGAGGATGCCTGCCTCAAGTAGAAGACATTGTAGCAACTGTCGCTGCGCATTCGGATTAGGGTACCCAGGATTTGTCTGCCGACGGTGTATTGGTAGAACAGGGTAATGGGATTCACTTTCATTAAGCATGGAGTCACCATCTGCGTAAGGTTCAAGCTCTTCGAGACCGGCGTCCTCGTTTCCCTTGTCCGGCTCTATGTCCTTCATACTTTGGCGGTGATCACCGGATATTCTTGATGATGACCCAGGTGTTGTTTTTTGACGATTGACCCCTGAAATGCTCCCAAGGTGTATATCATCGGTTTCATCTTGCCAATTGACTCGTGAGTAGTCAGACCCGTCATTTCCAAGCCCATTATGATCGTCATGCTCTACTTCGTTGATTAGATTATCATAGTCGCTTGCATGTACGTGCCCTGCTCCTTTCATGGCGAAAAACATTTCCACGCAAACGACAACAAATACCGAGATCATAGCAACAAATCCAGCCATGGCTCGATAACTCTTGCTCCAAAACCTAGGAAGACAGGGGTCTGTAAGAGAAACGAACGCCGTAGGTAGCAAATGGACAAAGGCTGTAGCGATCAGGACACCAGTCCCAAAATGTCTTGAGATGAAGAGAAAGCGACGTGGTATTGGAAGACGGGGAAACCGGCGGGCTAGGACAGGGAACGAGCACGCTATGTACCATCACGAGTCAGTCATGGATTTCTTCTGTATATAAGGATTTATATACCTAATGTACTTAACACGAGGATAAGGAATAGCGCCATGACATGCGCCGGTGTGTTGTAAGCACCACTTCTTGTCGAGCCACATGTTGCTTTTTCAGCATCCTCGTCCCTGACTTCGTGTCGCCGGGCAAGTTCAGCTCCCAGAATAGCGGCAGGGATATCTGAAATTGAGGGAAACTTGTGTAAAACACCTGTGCGATATTCAAAATCAGCAAAGCTAATGAAGCGGTATATCACAACATCGCAATATAGCGGTACGATGTTCAGTATTCGACAATGGACGGCCATATGGATGCAATGCTGCTGGGTACTCACCAGGTATCCCTGAGTCCGATTCCAGTGATCCAGGGTCCATATTTTATTGCTTTGTATAACCTCAGACTCTCACCCCTCCATGACCTGAATGCACGCTCCTAGCTCTGTAAAGTTCCGTAATGGCCCAGCTGCTCGAGCAAGCCGCCCTCGGAGTTGCTGCGGTGCCTAGAATTTGAAATGCGAGGCGCAATTGATTATATCCGGAGCACCTTCGAAGCCCAATTCGAGAAGGCGGGGAATTTGTACGAGGTCTTGGTGATGTCTTCCCTCGAAAGAGGGAGTTTACCGCAATCCGCGGAAGTGATTCGGACACGCGTTAAAAGCAGCAGAGAACTGATAATCTTATCAATCAATTCACTGCAACCAATCTCCTGCTTAGTAACACGACCATCGTCAAAAATGCATGGAATTCATTTTATTTACATGGAATCAAGATAATCATATGCATTGAACATACATGGGTTGATTTGCTGAAACTCCTGACAAGCAAATGAACATAAATTAGAGAAGGTAAGACTCATATCACGGACGAAATTCTCAATTCTAATTTTAGGAAAGTACGTGTATAGAACTTTATGCCCTGATAGGCTGTCAAGAACACCCAGAGGATGGTCCCAGTGTTATTATATAGTACATTCTGGCCGAGTGACAATTAGCTTGCTATCTGTTTCGCAGTTTAGTCCATCCATTGGTCCCTTTTGATCGACCGGTAATTGTTGGCTCGTTCGCGGATTCCGGTTTGGCATCTTCGTTTCTTGATATGCCTGCACCAGTAGGTGTTATATGAGTGCTGCCACTCCTCTCGAGCCCTAGGCCACGCCCATGTCTCTGCTTGACAGGGAGAAGGGTTTCTTGTAAAGACTGAGACGGTTCTTGAGCCTCATCATCCCATTCCTTCTCCTCGAGTAATTCCCATTCGGCACTTGCCATTTCTCCGAGCAGCGTTGATTTCAATTTGTCCACTACCTTTGTCGGAGTTGGTAACTTCCACGTTCGCATGAATTCTGTGCCTTCTGAAGCACCCAAGAACGAATGAGCAGTTCCATGAGAATAATGACCTAGCATAGAGAACGTCTTCGTTCGTTGAATAGTAGTTTTCGGAGAATCTTTGGAAGCCCGCGACTTCGATGGTATATCACGGCTGGCATAAGCCCTCATTAGGGTTGATGTTTGCACGGGAGGAGAAACCAATAATTGCCATATATTCTTTCCAATGTCGCATACTTCTTCCCATGAGTCCGAAGTTAGATTTAATCCTTGGGTCCGACACAGCCAAGAAACATTCCAAGCCAAAAGTGTGGCCCCTTCCAAGAAGAGAGCATACGTTCTAGGGTCCTCTCGCGCTAGCTTTGGCAGATTTCTATCAATAAATAAAGGCCGAGGTCGGGGTGTGTAGTGTCGTGTATCTGGCGTTCGTGAAGCTGCCGGGCCGGACGATGATGACTGAGCGGGCGCGCCTGAAGGCAGTTCTCGGGATATATAGGATCTTGCAGGGGCATAAATTGTAGCCGTTGGATAATCTCTATGCGGGAGAGTTATTTCTGCCGGAAGTCTCAGGGACAAATAATGTGAGACGAGAACAAGGAGATGAGCAATATTAGAAAAGGATGTGGATATGTGAGCTGCTGTGACGCCTGTAGTAACAATTAGTTTTATGTGGACAGGATTAAAATAAAGGGCCTTAACTTTCCATTCATGTCTCGCAAATCTATGAGAGGCATACCGCCAAGCACGTAGGTCTCTTTGCTGTCCCCATTTATCCTCTTGCTTTTCTGTCGCAATCCATAGATATTAGCAGCCTCTCGGCAGAGGAATATCCGTGAATCTATTGTCTTGGTGTGCAAAGTGTGCCAGAGGTGTTCTGTTCTTCTGGCATTGTTTTGTATTGCAGTCAGCATGGCGGCTTCACGTTCCAGAAGTTGATACTTCGCAGATTCAGTGTCAGAATTTTGCCGTGCCAGGGTGAGTCTGCGCTGAGATATATCAAGCTTCTTATCGTTTATTTCAGCGGCCAAATCCTCAACCCAGTCCCTAAGCGCTTTTGTCCTTGCGGATGAATTTGCTTGCCTGTTGGCAATTGCCTGGATGGTCCAGCGACTATGACCCTGAGTAGCTGATTCGGGAACCATTCCATCAATTTCTCCAGCTCTCCCTCGAGTCTCTTTATGTGTGATAGCATCTTCAATTTGTTTCCCTATGGCTTCCTTTTCTAGGAGGACTTTCGCATGTTCGACTCGCAGTTGGTATAGATGAGAGCGGGCACATGTTGTGCAATAGAAAGGCAGCCGTGGATTCGGAGCACGAGAACATACGTGGCAACTCATCGCAAGCGTTCGTGATTCTCTCAGATGTTGGATATTACGCCAAAATCTCGAAGCCCCATGGTCCTCTGGCGGTTTATCGAGAGCGGTTCAAACTGTCCAGTCCGACAACGATGTAAACTGACAAAACTAACGGTATGAAAACAAGGGTTCTTCATGACTTGATTTCGATAGGGATGATCATAGATTATGATATTCAACGACGCGAATACCGGACAGGCACTTTCATGGTATTCACTCATACCGTAGGAGAAGGTGAACGTAGGAGGGCCGATCGACGGCCGGCCGATTGCCTACGGTCAGATAACGTCACCTGACAATGCGACAGGCACAACGGCCCGATTGGTTGGTCTTCAGAGATCACTATGGGCAGTGATGCAGCCTCAAGCCTCCAAGGCCAAAGGCCAGTGATTCAATCGGTCGCTACTACGGACCAGAACCTCTTTTTTATCGTTCAATGTTTTCCCCTCCCATTTCTCTAGTCCTTTCTCCCGCATATTCGCGCATACCTCAGACATATTACAGAAAAACCCAAAATCACCGATTAACAATCATGGGTTCAGCTGGCAAAGAAAATGAGGAAACTATCTCCCGTAATGATTCGTATTCCCCAAGACTGGCACCGCGGAGTTGCAGCACTGGCCAGCAGGTGGACTCACAACAAACACAGCAGTTGATGGAAGAGCTCAGAAACTGTGGCTGGGAACAGCTGGAGGAAAAATACGCAAAAACCATGGAGGAACATGGTAAATCTGAAGACGAATTGCGAGCGCAAGTCGCGAAATTGCTGGAGGTAATCCTGTTATGCTCGTACCTTCGAGACTGTTATTGATTGTTCCATGGCAGGTCTTTGTAGCATGGTCTCAAACTACTGTTTTACGCGACGAGGACAGAGCCTTGAAAAGGTTTATCAGCACAAGGCGTCTGTGCAGACGGAGAATAACCCTGGCTAACTTTACTCTACAGGTTTAAGACACAAATGCAGCACGTACAGAACTCTGAAGAAAGATTGGAAAACAAAAGGAAGCATTGTACGATCTGCCAACCTATATTTGAAGAATATAGGGACACTGACTTAATTACATAGATACCGACGTGGTAAAAGCGTTTGAAGGTGCTCTTGCATTGCTGAACGGCCGTGCAAGGCCCTAAATACCGCGCAGGTGCTGCTGGGACAAGGGATAATGACCTACCGTCTCATTTCAGTTAGGGTCTGGGGTATGGATGAGCTAGGGACATTTGATACCCAGGTTGTGTTGTTGCGGAAGACAGCAACCGATTTTTCCCATTCTACATGCTCGGACAATGGAAGGCAGAGACTTGTATGGTGTGTCATGATTGGAGTGACAATGTAGATGGCAGTATTTTTCACGAACCCCATATGTATGCATGCCATGTTGGGAGCATTGGGAAAACATATAATGAATTGCCATGAAATCTTCATTTAGTCAAGCATGAAATAGTAACGTATTCATACAGAACATTCCTACCAAAGAAACGCCGGTTTACCAAACCAAAAATTTAGCACTATACCTTATCACCTATCATTTCTCCTAGCAGCTCTGCCCGTAACATCCTGCCAGGTAGCATCGAAACGTCTTCCGGTGCTCGCTAAAAGACCTTCCTCTTCGGCCTCCTCTGCATCCTCGTCAAGCTGGTGTTCGTCCAACTTGGGGGAGCGGAACATTGAAGTGACAAAGACGATGAGATAAATACCTAGTAGCGCGCGATGTGAGTAAAATTCAAGTGCGGGAATGTGTAACGCTTACCAAGAAAAATGAATTGAGCCCAGAAGAATACGATGCCAAAGAAGGGGAAATTTATCGTTACTCGGTTGAGGAATGTACTAGCCACGCTGGGTGTACATACCCGTTTCGCAGCCGAATTATTTGCCAGCTCCGAGCATGGTTTGATGAGATGTTTGCTATTAGAACAATCGGGTTGTCCATTGAGGAGCCCAGGATGGCGATCGCAGAATTTTTGTGGCCCAAACGTGGCATATTGAGGAGCAACCACCATAGACAAAGAATAGTTCAAAGCCAGGGCAGTCAGCATTAACATAGCCGTCGCCAAGAGAAGCGCCTGCGGAGAGGTATGGCCCTTTCTAATCTGGAAGATTCTAATCCAAAGGAATCGAATGCCAATAGAAGCAATACCAATAACGGAGCTGTTGAAGAATAGCAACGCAAGGATAGTGAAAATGACATAGTCGACCGGGAATACCTTGGCAGATTGCACGAAAATCCAGTTGACTGGGTTGAAAAAATTGATGTGCCCAAGAATATACCCACAGCGGTGCTTGCAGACTGAATTTTTAGCCTTGTCAATTGCCGTCAGTGTCATTGATACCCAGGTTGCGAATGCTATTAGTAGCAAAAAAAGACCACCCAGCAATTTAACTGGGCGGAAGACAGCTTCAATTTTGACGCACGCCTTCATTAGCCAGCTTTGACCTTCTCCCCGGGCCTCTTCCACAAGCCGTTGTCTTCGAATCAAAGTCCTTTCTTCTCGCACGAGTGTATCCAACTCTCTGCGATCCTTCGAAGACAGGACATCAGGATTACCCCCACATCGACCTTCTAGCTGGCGTTGCCGTTCTCGATTGCTGTCAAGCTGCATACAGGTGGTCGCTTTTATGTTCGGATTCGAAAATGAAGGGGCTGTTTTGATCAAACTGATGGGGAGTAGAGCAAGGCCCGACGAGGTGTACAAGACGTATAGGCATAACCCGATTGTCGTCAACAATCCGAGAGTAAATGTAAGCGCACGCTCTCCATCTAATAATAGATTAGAGCTGTTAGATAAATATACTTATCCAATGAGTTCTGGGACACTTACGATTCTCGGTCAACAGTTTCTTGAAGTAGTCCAAGTCTTGACCGTCTTTGTTCTTCGAAACAGGAACAAAGAAGCCGACGAGGAACAATATAACTATGATTGCCATGAAGCATATAGTATACTTGAAAGCACTCCAAAAGCGCTTCAAAATAGTTTGTTCTCCAGATTCGGTAGCGACCTCGTCATATTCTTCGTAGAAGAAGTAGGTGAAAGGAATCACGAGCAGGCAAAGGACGGCATCCAAGGAGTAGAGTAAATAGTATACTATCGTCAAGGAATACGTTATTCTGTCCACCACATCCTGAGAAGCCCAGTCTTTGCGCCGACCCAAGGCTGAAGAAGTTGTGGATGAAACCAAAGCGACATCAACGGGCAGCAGGAGAACAGTCGCCAACAGAGTGGTGATGGCAAAGATGCAAGTCAACGTTACCGAGGGAGAGCGATCGCGAGGCGTTTGATACACATAGATGAAGATGGAGGCTACTGCTATCAGTATAGCTATCGCAATTGCGTATACGATCCAAATGAGGGACGTTTGTAAGGGGGCCATGTTGAAGTCCTTCAGAACCTGTAAGTGGCTACAATTAAGCAATTGACACTTGCGACAAAAATAGACCGGACAAAAGTAGAATCGGAACTAAAAGCAAGAAAGAGTATGAAGCCGGAGTCTCAAGCATCTTACGTCATCGCAACGCGAATCGGCCAGTACGGTCACGTGTAAAGCTCCGGTCATTCGGCGTCCGTGTTTTTAAGAGCTCCATCCATAGGAGCCAAGATGCGCCCAATTGATCTTTTTTTTTGATTTATATTCTTTTAAATTCAACCTTGTTCCGACCTCTGCTTTGTTTCTGCCCTCTATAAACCGGAAATGGTTGGGTTTGTTCGTGGCAGCTGAGGGAATGGTCTAAGAAGCTTCCCAACCAAATTCGATTGTTGATAAACCATGCAGTGCTATACTGAACTACTGCCTCCGACGGGGGTCACACATGCCTTGACGGTATCCTTCCTTTCTGCTACTGCAACCAACCTGGTGGTTGTGAGAACATCGCTTCTTCAAATCTTCTCTTTGCTCAAAATTGCTCGACCGGAAGGTGAAAATAACGGTGACGGGTCAACAAGACTAGAGCAATCCGAGACCACGAAACTGATTCTTGAGAAGGAATGTCCCATTTCCGGAACAGTGACTGACCTCAGCCGAGTCAAGATTCTGAACTCCAAGAGTGGCGGAGAGGCCATTTTAATTGCGTTTCGAAATGCGAAATTAAGCTTGATTGAATGGGATCAAGAGCGCCATACAATCTCTACCGTTTCCATCCACTATTATGAACGGGATGATTTGACCCGTAGTCCCTGGGTGCCTGATTTGGGCAGTTGTGGCAGCAGTCTCAGCGTGGATCCGAGCAGTAGTTGTGCAGTGTTCAATTTTGGAGTTCGGAACCTTGCCATTCTACCTTTTCATCAACCCGGAGATGATTTGGTAATGGACGATTATGACTCGGGCGACGAGGGGAAAAACAATGCTGCTGATGCTGAAAAGACCAAGAATGGCATGACCTACCAGACCCCATATGCTTCGTCTTTTGTCTTACCGGTGGCCGCGTTGGACCCTTCCTTACTCCATCCAATAAGTTTCGCCTTTTTATATGAATATAGGGAGCCGACTTTCGGTATTTTGTATTCTCAAATTTCAACCTCAACCGCGCTTCTCCATGAAAGGAAGGATGCTGTTTTCTATACTGTTTTCACACTAGATTTGGAACAGCGAGCTTCCACAACGTTGCTTTCGGTCTCCAGACTACCCAGTGATCTCTTTAAAGTGATAGCTCTCCCACCACCTGTCGGAGGTGCTTTGCTCATTGGCTCCAACGAGCTAGTGCATGTTGACCAGGCAGGCAAAACAAACGCGGTTGGGGTCAATGAGTTCTCTAGGCAGGTTTCGGCCTTTTCAATGGCCGATCAATCAGATCTTGCTCTTCGTCTTGAAGGGTGCACAGTTGAACGTCTTGCTGATAATAACGGTGATTTATTAATGGTGCTTTCCAACGGTGATTTTGTTTTGGTCAATTTTAGGCTTGATGGAAGGTCGGTCTCTGGCATTTCCATGCACCCTCTACCTGCTACCGCAGGCGGGAATGTTATGAAGTCACCTCCGTCATGTTCTGCTTTCCTTGGAGATGGGAGACTATTCGTCGGCAGCGAGGATGCAGATTCGTTGCTTGTGAGCTGTTCTAATCAAGTCCCTGGCACCAAGAAACCGCGGTCACAGCTCAAGCATGATGTGGAAGATTTTGGCAGTCTCTCGGATGAGGACCAAAGCGAAGATGACGCCTACGAAGATGATCTATATTCATCAGCGCCTGACATGCCTACCGACGGGCGTCGTGCATCAATCGAGACATCGACATTTGGGCCATACAGTCTCCGAGTAGACGATAGACTGCCCAACATCGGTCCACTGAGAGATGTAACCTTGGGTAAATCCTTCTCGAACGTGACGAGCAAAGATCCCAATGTCGAGGTTGTCTCTTCAGAGCTTGAACTCGTGGCCACCCAAGGCTCCGACAGAAATGGCGGTCTGGCGGTCATGAAACGCGCAATTGATCCTCATGTTATTACATCCATGGAGGTTGACTCGGCCGACAATGTCTGGACAGCATCTGTGGCCCACAGAAGAACGGCATTAATTGGCACTACCGGCAATATGGATAAGAAGGAAATCCGCCATTATGTGATCATTCCGAAAATCACGGGCTCTGAGAAAGAAGAGCCAGAAGTATTTGTTGTGGATGGGAGTGACCTAAAATCTTTCAAAGCTCCCGAGTTTAACCCGAACGGGGATTTCACAATCGATGTTGGCGTGTTGGCAGAAAAGACTCGGGTAGTCCAGGTTCTTAGAAACGAAGTGAGAAGCTATGATCTTGGTGAGTGAAATAGTTGTACTAATGAGGGGAAGAAAAGAAAAGGTGTGACAGTGACGCTAATGAAGGATGATGGTTAATTAGACTTGGGTTTAGCCCAGATTTACCCCGTATGGGACGAAGACACCAGCGAGGAACGAATGGCAGTGAGCACTAGCCTTGCAGATCCGTACCTTGCGATTCTTCGGGATGATTCGACGTTACTGCTTCTCCAAGCAGATGATAGTGGAGATCTTGACGAAATACCGATTAATGAAACCGTTGCTTCGATAAAATGGCATTCGTGCTGTCTATACCGAGACATTAACAAGGTCTTTTCCTGTTCCGAATCAAACCCTGGTAGCTCTAGCGAGAGCGACATTCTTCTCTTTCTGCTTAGCTCAGATGGAAAATTATTTGTAAGTACCAACGCAACTTCTCAGTCTTGGATAAATTGATCTCTCCCAGGTTGCGTACTTACAATTCCGAATTGCAGATTTTCCGACTTCTTGACCAGAAGCTGCTGTCAACAATCGATGGGGTTGATTGCTTGCAGTCGATTCTCTCAATTGACCCACCAAAACGATCGACTACGCGTGAGAAACTAGTCGAGGCCGTTGTCGCAGACCTAGGAGATTCATATAATAGCCAGCCGTATTTGATCGTATGCATTTACCTTGAATTCGTTCAATCTCTTCTTACATGAAACTGACATAGTCTCAGGTGCGAACCGAGAACGACGACCTTTTCATATACAGGCCATACTTAGCCCCGGGTGCAACAGACGGAGAGCCTTCTAGTTTGCGTTTCTTTAGGGAGACGAACCATTTTCTACCAAAGGTTCCTTCCAGTTCGGATGTGGAAAATTCGAATGTGGGCTTACAAGGGACCAAACCGTTGCGTATATTGCCCAATGTGTCGGGGTTACGTGCCGTCTTCATGCCAGGTGCATCGGCAGGTTTTGTTGTCAAGACACCTACAAGTGTGCCTCATGTCATACGCTTAAGGGGGGACTATGTACGTGGTCTAAGTAGTTTTGACTCGTTTGCTCTTGGGTGCATTAACGGCTTTGTTTATGTGGATTCAGAGGTATTTTTCCTCATTTTCTTTTCTGGGGCATACATACTGAACAAACTTGCAGGATGTTATTCGAGCATGTCAATTGCCTGAAAATACGCAATTTGACTATTCGTGGACATTGCGAAAGGTTCACATAGGGGAGAATGTGGACCATGTGGCTTATTCGTCTTCGTCCGAAACATATGTTCTTGGGACTAGCCACAAGGCCGAATTTAAGTTACCTGAAGATGACGAGCTCCATACTGAATGGCGTAATGAAGGTCAGTCCTGAATCACACGCATAGTGAAAAATAAGCTAATGCATCCTAGTTATCTCGTTTCTGCCCGAGGTGGATCAAAGTTCGCTCAAAGTCGTTAGTCCAAAAACATGGTCTGTCATTGATAGGTATGGAATCAGCGATTCGATTGAGAATCTATTACCATATACACATATATTGACTTGCTTTATAGCTATCCCTTGGGCCCTGCTGAGCATGTGATGGCGGTCAAGAACATAAATCTTGAGGTTTCGGAGAACACGCACGAGCGCAAGGACATGATCGTTGTCGGAACAGCCATTGCCCGAGGCGAAGACATACCCGCGCGCGGTTGCATATACGTGTTCGAGGTTATCAAAGTGGTTCCAGACCCAGAGAAGGAAGAAACAGACCGCAAACTGAAACTTATAGGCAAGGAACCAGTCCGAGGTGCTGTGACGGCGTTATCTGGGATTGGCGGACAGGGCTTTCTCATTGCTGCACAGGGGCAGAAGTGCATGGTTAGGGGTCTTAAGGAAGACGGCAGTCTTCTCCCCGTTGCATTCATGGATATGCAATGCTATGTCAATGTGGTCAAGGAACTGAGAGGCACTGGAATGTGTATACTGAGTGACGCTGTGAAGGGGACCTGGTTTGCGGGCTACTCGGTATGCGCCCTACAATTTCCAAGATGGAACATACACTAATAATTTATACAGGAGGAACCGTATAAGATGAGTCTATTTGGCAAAGATCCAGAATATCTCGAGGTCGTTGCTGCAGATTTCCTGCCAGAAGGCGACAAACTATTCATTCTGGTCGCCGATAACGACTGCAATCTTCACGTCCTGCAATATGACCCAGAGGGTAAGCTTTTCCCATCCCACTTTTCTTTCTCAATTCCGATAAGACACAAAACTAACCCAAAATAGATCCCAAATCATCTAACGGCGACCGCCTCCTAAGCCGCAGCAAATTCCACCTCGGCCACTACGCAACCACCTTAACCCTCCTCCCCCGAACCGCCGTCTCCTCCGAACAGGCCCTCCTCCAACCCGACGAAATGGAGATTGACGAAGCTCACACCGCGAAACACCAGGTCCTCGTCACGACGCAGAACGGCTCCATGGGTCTCATCACGCCCGTTGCGGAGGAATCATACCGTCGTCTCTCGGCACTGCAATCCCAGCTTACTAATACTATCGAACATCCATGTGGATTGAACCCTCGTGCGTTCCGGGCGATTGAGAGTGACGGGGCTGCGGGGCGGGGAATGGTTGATGGTAGTCTGCTGTGCCAGTGGTTGGATCTGGGTAAACAACGCAAGACTGAGATAGCCACTAGAGTAGGTGCGAACGAATGGGAGATCAGGGCAGATCTAGAGGCTATAAGTGGTGACGGGCTTGGATATTTGTGATTCTCTTTACCATTTAGTGACTGAAAAAGGAGCCGAGAGAATATAATTTGGATATATTTTTGTGCTAATGTTATATCCATTTGCTATTATGATGGGTTATTAGTGTATGTAGAAATGATGTTTGTCGACACGATCGACAATGTTTGAAAAGATATCTATCCTGAAAAGTAGATCCTTGGGACAAGGTTCTATAAAATGAAGCAGAGACTTCGGTCGAATGTCCCGGACAAACCAGCCGAATAAGAGAAAGAGGAAGAGAAAAAAGGGAGCGGACTGTTACCTCACTCCGCTACGCTAAGGGCGAGATATCCATAACCAAAACTCCGGGGTAGTGAAGAAAATAATAATGACGAAAGAAACCAAATATAAACGCCTAAACCTACCGAACCAAATATATAATCCGGATGTATATTCCAACAATGTAACCCGGACCAGTAAACTTATTTTCCTTCCCTTTTTCTTTTTCTTCTTCTTCTTCTTCTTCTTCATAATTTTTTTTTTTTTTTTTTTTTTTTTAAAAAAAAAAAAAAAAAAAAAACGCGCCTCTTTAATAAACATCCTCTGCGAAATACCGCTTGCTTCGACCCCGGGCTGTGACAAACTTGGTCTCTGGCATTGTGGTATGATGTACCACATGGGGCCGGTATACTGCATCAACAGGTGTTTGCCAATCGTCTAAGCCCAGAGGAAAGTACTCATAAAGCAAATCGGTATTATCATTGGGGAACGGCAACGAGGATGTGAATGGCTGTTGCAAATTTGTGGTATCCAGTAGGGGTAGTGATGAATTGACATTCTGGGGTTCTGTCCGCGAAATATCATGGGCCAGTTTTCGCATCTTTGCAGGAGGGACAGAGTTATCCCAGGCGAGGTCTTTGTGGGATAGGTCATTGCTGGAATATGATGACACGGTTGTAGGGGGATCATTAGGATCGAGTGTGTGGCTATCTTCATCCTCCAATATTGATAGATTGATGGGGGCTGCAATTGAATGGGCACGCTGTTGTTGTATTTGTGTGCCCTGGGAAAAGTCCGGACTCGGTTGCGATTGATAAAGAGATGATATTTGAGCAGGTAACGATCCAGTACTACTTCGTGCTGTCTGCGACATTCTGGCCCAGTCGGGAGGAGATGCCTGCTGCTGCACCATACCTGCGGAGGCCGCTGTGATTGATGCATCTGGAGAATTACTTTTGAATGTGGACTTGTTATTGGTCGTTCTAGCTGGCGTCATACTAGCACGGGGTGTTGATTCACTAGTTGGAGTACGATTGAAGGCACTCGAAGTTGATGCTGCATGAGTGTGCTTCCGTGATGCAGCAGCGCTACCACTCAGAGGCAAGTCTTTGCGGGACTGGAAATTGCGCGGGCTGCGACCTCGAACGATGATGGGGGCCGAGTGAATCTCGCTGATGGGGATCTTGGCGCCAGTGGACAAAGTTGCGACGACCTTGAGACGGACGACAAAGTGTTGTTGCAGCTCTTTCCGGCGACCATTATTGGCGGTTGCCACGCGGAATTGGAGACGCTTCCATGCAATGGGAAAGGTAGCATAGTCGGTGTCCATGTCCTGACCAGCCATGATGTCCAAGGGGATCGGGGGCGGTTCCTTTTCGACTTTGGGCGGGGGATTCTCTTCGACAACGGGAACAGGAGGGTTGCCACTTCCATTGTTGCTATTCGCAGCGGGGGTCTTCCAAGGCACGGAGATGATCTTGACGGAATTGCCTTCGACAGACTCTGTGGCTGACACGGTGAGTTCCTGAGCAAGGATGGGTATCCGGTCTCCCTGATCGGTCATAATGTAGCGCAAACTGCGGGGCAACGTGATGGAACCGGTGATCTGGAACAGATTGCGGCGGTAGCATGTCAATTCTGCACCCTGTTGGGGTGGCGCGTGCTCTGCGGGAGAGGTAGTCCAAGGCGATTCTGCAAGGAAGAACATGCCATGCAGCTGAGCAGACATAGATATTGAGGTCCTACGAAGGGAATAGTCGAGCAGAGTGAAGTTGAAGACGGGCACAGAAAAGCTCAGTAGCTTATTATTATGATCGATTGACGAATCCGGGGGTAGGGGCTGCTCGGGCGGGACCTGTTCAAACGGGGAGACCATGTCGGTTGTCGCAAAGGGATCCTCATAGCCGGAGGGGAAGTGTTTTAACGGTGTGGATAAGCCATGTTGTGTAGGGAAGGCTATAGGGTCATCGCCGCTGGTCGCCCCAAGATCTCAGTATAATGTTCTCTTTGCTTAAAGAAAGAGGAAGAAAACGTACCTGACAAACGTCTCCGAATCAAAATTGGAGGGTTGATCAGGAAGATCCATACCCGGGACGGAGCTGAGATAGTCCACACCTTGGAGATTGCCGAGCGATAAGGGACTAGCCAAGTAGGGCATAGCCATGGTGTCGAAGCCTTCCATGATAAGAGAGGGCAATGATTGAACCGGACCAGGCGGAGAGAGGAAAGGAGGAGAGAAAGAGAGAGAGAGAGAGAGAGAGAGAGAGAGAGAAAAGGAACAGAGAGGGATACCCGTCGGTCAATTGGCGGAGAGCAACACCCGCGCAGGGACAGTGGGAGGGGAGGAGGGGCAAAGGCAGAAGAGAGGAAAGAGAGTGTGTGTGTGAAGAAGAAAGGAGAGGAGAAGAAGAAAAGAAAAAAAGGGTCAAGTAAAAGAAAAGAACGAATGACAGCGAAGAGGAGAAAACAAGAACAGAAGAGGGAAAGGGATCGAGAGAGGCTGAAGATACGATCGCAAAGTGCAGAAACGACCGAAAAGAGTGAGAGACGCAATGATGCAAACAGAATCAGAGCGAGGAAGTGGGAACCACCATTGCGGACGTTTTGTATTGAATCTCTTTTTCCTGGTGAGAGAAGAAAAAGTGTGGAGAGGTGAAGAATTGAGAAAATAGAGGAATGGAGAGCGGAGAAGTATTACCAAGTCCAAGAAACACTGCAGACGGAACAATAAAATGCACTTTTTGTTATTATTTTATATACTGTTTTGTATGATTTTAAATACTGAGCTGAAAAGTCACATGCCTTGGTACACTGTACATAGTTTTAAGTCTATACTTGCACATACAGCTGTCTTCTGTTAGTGTCCGTCGCGGGTCTGTCGATCGATCTGAGACTTTTTTGCCTGTTGCTAGGTACTATTACTCTGCTCTCTTTCTTTATAAGTAATAATTGTGTATGTATATCTTCCAACTAGTACTGTTAAACATCCATTATGCCAGGGAATCTACTGAATGAGAATGGCAATACAGTGAACGCTTCCGAATCAGGCAAGGCGGGTCAAGGCTCGTGCGCAGGCCCCACCGAAACCCGGGGAACAGAGTCTCTCTTTTCTCCGAATTCGTATATACAAATATGTACATAGTAATATGCTTACAGGATATGGATTCTGTCAATAGAGTGCTTGTATAATGATAGAAATGTCAATACATCTTGAGCTATTCATGCCATACGGTAGGTTTGACAGCTGTGATACTGAAGGTACCGTACCATACCGTACATAACCGTACCAACCCGTCCCACGGGCCGCCAGTCACCGGCCAGACCCCGCTCAGCCCTCCAGGGGTAACGAGTCCTGATCCGGTCATGTCTCACAGTTTGACCATCAAGTAGAACAGAAGAGTAGAACAAGGAATGAAAAGAAAAGGACTTGACTACTCCAATACAGTGGTTGAACCAGAGACACTGGTCAATAGTCTGCGTTCATCACACTATCACTTTTGTCCAGAAGTGTCCGCAAGCAGCCACTTGCTCCACCTGCCGCCGCTTTCCGCCGTGGATCATCCGAGGGCGATCTCGCGCTATACTGTATCGAGTCACTACCTCTTGTCTGATTGGATGCGTTCAACTGTGATCGTTCATCTCATATCGTCCAATCGGAACCACTCAGTTAATACTATGTACACTAGAACCATACAGTACGGAGTATGTAGTCATTATTATTATGTACCAATGTACACAAAGACAGACACACAATACTATGGATGAGGCCCCATCCATACTGTCGCATTGCAATTCACTTCTTCGAATCGATGCAACATCTCGAATCCCATTCTAGATAGACAATCCAAGTTGCTGTCTCCATCCACCTATTCTTGGTTAGTCTTTATCGTCCCCAAAAACCAGACCGGAAAGAGGATTCTACTCACACAATCCAAGACAACCACTTTTGCCCCCTGCTTGCGGCTCTGCTTGATTCCCAGAAACACCAGTCCCTGCAGAACCGTCGCATATTCTCCGACCAATGGGGAAATCACCAGAGACGAGACCCCACCCGCCAGAACCGGTTGATTCTTCAGCGCCGCCATGTGCGCTGCCAATACCGATCGCGCATTGTAAATGACTACACTGCCAAGCATTTCCCCGTCGTCTGCCCGTAGCGCCCGGATGATTCCGCAGTCCGGTGCATCTCCCAGGGCCACATGATAGATATCCTGCAGCCCTGGCCGCGAGTTCGTCCGTACATGATCCAACACCACATCTGCATAGTCCCATCCATATACCAAATCATATCGCACTGCCGTATGGTTCTGGAGCGCGTCTACAAGCCCGTCTGGCGGTGTCCATGTTGTCACATTACGTAGCACCACACTGCACGCTGGCTGCGACAGCGCTGTGTTCCAACCCATATTTGCAAACCACTGCCGCAGCCGCTTCCGCTCCACTTGGTGTGTGGCCGGGATGCCCAAGTATATCCCAGGAAGTCGCGAGCCTAGCTGGAATCGTTTGATCCCTTTGCATTGGAACAGCGTGTGAATGGCCCGATCATGAAGTGATCTCCCGATCGATAGTCTTCGTCGCGATGGGTCCACTATCAATGATCCAATAACACCAATCCCAGTTGACCGGAAAAAGTACGTCGAGCAAAACCCGTAAAGGGCTTGCGTGCTGCTATTCCTTACCATGAGATGGGCCTCGACCACTTCCGCTCGTCGGAGCAGGAAGCTGTTGGATGTCACTCCCTGCAGCTCCGAATTCTGCGCACTATCCGCTCGAACAATATCTAGCAAGGCATCTAACCCATGAGCATCCCGCTCTTCGTTCCAACTCTCCACCAGCCAATGCTGTCTCGCCTGATGCAGCTTCTGACTACGGCTGATAGACCCTGGCAGGGATCCTGTTGGTGTCAGCTCCCCGTATAGTACTTGTACCAGTGCCTCCAGTGCCGGCTCCGAAAAGTCGTACGTGCAAACGTAGGTCTCAACTGACTGATCCATCGCAAAGTCGTACGGGGAGCTAGATGCCACGACCACGAGGGGCTTCTCGCGTGGTTGCCCTGCTTGCGACATTCTGCAGAGCATCGACACGTGCTTTGTGAAGCCATGCTGGTACAGATGTCGGTTTGCATCTGTTGTGACAACAATGACCGCACTAGCTCGCTCGATTAAGTTTTCGTGGATAGGACGGACCCCATTAGTTGTGTAGGATGTGTGTAACACCCGACCGTTCCGCTGCCGTGAGAGGGACCGCCCTAGCTCCTTGAAAACACTTTCACCACTGAGAACTGAAGCCATCCGATCCCAGGCAATAGGATCCTCGAGTGACAGACCTAGATGTGCTGCCACAGACCGCGATACGGCCGAGGCGGGTAGCGGCTTCACCAATGGTGTTAACAACAAGAGTTCCTCATTCGGATCCAGGATGCCGGATAGCGGCAGCAAATTCCTCTTATTGCGCACCACTGAAATGGAATCGCCATATGCTCTCTTGGAAAGACTGGTATGGCTGGGCTGCATCTGAGTCAGCGAATGCAACCCTGGTGGGTTCAGCGCCTGCTCCCAGGATGTGCATCGGGCTTTCATTTGCAAGACACGACGAAGGGATTGCTCGATTCGACCGCGGCTGATGATCCCATTCTCGACCCCGAGTTTTAGTCCACAAATGGCTTCTTGCTGCACAGCAAAGGACCGACAAAGAAGAATAATATCGCAGCCTGCGTTCTTCGCCATCACCGTACCACCGCCCACGCCGATGTTGTGGGTCAGCGCCTCCATTTCCAGGCACTCCGAGACCACCACTCCACGGAAACCTAGGTCCTTCCGGAGCAAGTCATCTACAACCTGCTCACTCAAACAGGCATGCATGACATTGACCCCTGCAGATGACATAGACACCCCGCCTACCATCATGGAATCCAAGCCGTGGGCAATTGCATTACGAAAGGGTACCAGTGCCGACAAACTGAGCTGATCCAACGTTTCGGTGATGATGGGGACGTCCGCTTGCGATCCCAGGAATTCCAGATTGCCATACGATGGGAAATGCTTGCCGCATGTTGCCAGACCCGCCTCCTGGAAGCCTCTCATGAACTCCGTACCATACTGCGATACCTCTTGTGGGTCATCGCCCGTCGTGCGCACTCCCAATGGTTGGTTCTTGGCATTCGTCAAGACGTCTAAAACCGGGCCTAGGATCCAGTTGATTCCGACTGCTTTGAGCTCATGTGCTGTCGCGAAAGCCACTTCATGTGCCAGGGCTTGGGATCCAGTTGCCGCGACTCCCATTGCGCTGGGGAATTGCCTGATATAGGTTTCATCGTACAGGCTATTAACCCCGCCATTTTCTTGGTCCAGGGCAATTAACAGAGGCACTGGATGACCCGCATTCCGGGCGATGGTTTGCAGTTCGAGAACCAGTCGCGTTGCCTCCTCTGCGGCTGTTCATTATTAGTTTGTTTATACTTATAATAGTAAGCAAAAGAAGAGGAGAAAAAGATAATACATTTTAGATTCTTGGCTGATAATAACACAGAACCCAAGTAATGATTCTCAATGAGTGAACGAATCTGAGGATTGACAGAGGTCCCATCAAAGCCCATCATAAAGAGCTGACCCATCTGCCTATAAAGACATAGGAAAGGCCGTAGGCCATAATGACCCTGTCAGCAATGCGCACTATCAAGTCTACACAAACAAGATGACGCCAAGGAATCATCGATAAGAGCCCTACCTATCAAGGTCCTTCCAACCAGAGGTCGGCAACTCCTCATTCGCGGCCATTGTGGCCCTGGATTGGAGGAGCGAGGTATGCCAGCAACAATTGGGGGAAGGGAATGGAGGGGTTGAAACCCTATGTTCCCTCTCCCCCTGACCCTGTCAAAGCCAATCAAATAACCGAAAAGTAGCTAGATAGCCTAGCTTCTAGCTGTTTTCGCGATGGCGTATGGAATGATGGTAACAGGTAGGAGCAGTAGGTTGTAGTGGAGGGGAGGGACATCAGCCGGATTGGGTGAGGAGAAATGCAGCTGCCATGTGCCATGAGAGACGAGAACCGCAAATGGAAGCCGAGGAATGTGTGTAACTATCCCGAAACCGTTGTCTGACATCCGGGAGATAAGCTATAACTAGCACAAGAAGTCAACGGCAATCAGGACCGCGCATAATAGACATCGACAAGGTAGTGAAAGAGAGGTAATCTCAATCAATCGACCGTATCAGGAGAATAATGAGCCTGTTTGTCCAGTTTGCTTCCTTCTCTGTCCCGGTACTAACCACGTGACCATGACCACACTGAAACATGCGGGGGTATCGTATCGTATCGTACAGTACCGTACCATACGGGCCGTTCCATACAACGGTTGCACTTGACTTGGATCCGACAGCGGCTCCCCAAATGACACTCCGAATGCAACGGTGGAGTCAGGTGTCATACTTAGTCATGCGGTGGTGATAGCGGGATGACGATGAATATTATCCCGATAAGAAAATGGCACCTCCAACTGTAACATTAGATGACAGGCAGAGAATCAGAGGCACAGAACAGGTAAGGGCAGGCACAGGCAAAAGGGGGAGGGAATATACAAGAAAAGGGGAATGCGTCATATATTCTATGGAACCGGCAAAATTACCAATAGTAAAATATCACCTGGAGATAGGGCAGACATCTTCGCCACGACCGGAAGAGGAGACCTGCGCACCTGACGGAGATAAAGAAGTTCATTTGCTGCTTTTGGATATTGAATTCGTCAGAAACGAGAAATTGGCTATGTCAGTACAGTACTATAGCGTAGAATGAGTCGCATTCGCAAATGTCACTCTTTGGGCGTCTCCCCACCATGACTGCAACGGATCCATGGGTGGTTATGGAGGCCTGGACTGATGTCTTTTCGTCTTTCTTACTCCTCTTCTTATTCTATCTTTTGATTATTGACTGCTCTTCTTCTCCTGATTTTCTTCTCCTGTTCTTAATTCATATACACACAAATTCAAAGGTTTATTGCACTGCCTTACCGTATGATCAAGCTTCTCGGTGACGTATCAACGCAACTCTTAAAATGTATCTCATCCCTCTTCTCGCCACTTTATTCTACTAGACTAACTGGCTCTAGGAGAGTCATCGTCAGGGAAAATGCTCTGGCAGTATCAGAGTATATTGCAGACTATATTATCAGTATGTTTCTTTCCGTTTGCTGCTTGATTGTTCTCAAATGTGCTACCTGCTAATTCATGTTCAGCACGCATCAAAACATTCCAGCCAACCCCGGACCGGCCCTTCGTACTCGGACTGCCTACCGGCAGCAGCCCGGAGATCATATACAATGTTTTGGTGCGCCACTACAGAGCTGGCGACATCTCGTTTAAAAATGTCGTGACGTTCAACATGGTATTGCCTCCCAGACCCTCTGGAAAGAAGCACTTATACTAATGCAAGACAGGATGAATACGTTGGCCTCTCCCGTGAACATCCCGAATCCTATCATAGCTTCATGTACAAGCACTTCTTCTCACATGTCGACATTCCGCCACAGAACATCAACATCCTGGACGGAAATTCCCCGGACCTAGCCACAGAATGTGCCTCATTTGAAGACCGCATCGTCAGCTACGGTGGTATTGAACTTTTCCTCGGAGGGGTCGGCTCTGACGGTCACATTGCATTTAATGAGCCTGGTTCCTCGATGAGCAGCCGCACACGTGTCAAGACCTTGACATACGACACTATATTGGCCAACTCGCGCTTCTTCAATAATGACCTATCCAAGGTGCCGCGCATGGCCCTGACAGTGGGTATTCAGACTATCATGGACGCGCGCGAAGTTGTCATTGTGGCAACAGGTCCACACAAGGCAGTTGCTCTGGAGAAAGGCCTCGAAGGCCCCGTCAACCACATGTGGACACTGTCTGCATTGCAGCTCCATCGGCACCCGCTCATCGTATGTGACCGGGATGCAACCCTCGAACTCAAAGTCAAGACAGTCCGGTACTTCGAAGGGATCGAGCAGGCCGGCACAGATGCCCGTACTCAGGGCCCGTGGTTGGCTTACAGGCCTAAGACACCAATGACCTACGTTCCTCAACAGCAGCCAACCCCGAAGGCAACGCCTGCGAAGATACCTCAAACCTTACGCATCAATACGGAGCTTCAGCGGTCCTTTGATGATGACGAGCTGACCCCAGACAGCATGTCTTCCCGGATGGTCGACTCGGCAGTTAGTGGACTGGACTCGATGCTCAAGGATGAGCTGATCTTTGATCGAATGGGATCCCGCGTAACTGCCAACTAATTGCAATTTTTGCATGATTTAACGACTTGTAATCCAGTAGAAAATTAGGATTGCTTTTGCTTTCTGTTGGCTCCTTTTTTGGCTCTTGTCATACAATTCCATTATATATGCTGTGACTATGATACTGTTATATACTTATGATTTTTCAAGAGCGACGTTGCTTTATATTGAATCGAATCTTATAGACAAGAGTACCATATTTATTTGCTATATATATACCTTACATGTACTTTGAAATATCGTTGGATCAAAGCTAAATGCTATCGCTTATAATGCTAAAGAAAAAAAAAAAAAAAAAAAAAAAGAAACAACAAGCTCAAAGCTTGGCGAAAACGGTAGGCACAGTGCCGCTCATGTCTACCAAAGTGCTCTTGTTCTGTAACCAAGCCTCAATACCCTTGCGGCCGTTCTCGACACCGAGACCACTCTTCTTCCATCCACCCACGGCCATCTCGGCCGGACTCTCACCCCAGGTGTTAATCCAGGTGATACCAGCCTGCAGCTGGCCGATAATACGGTGGGCCTGGTTGATGTCCTTGGTGAAGACACCCGCCGCGAGGCCGAGCTCCGTGTTGTTGGCACGGCGGACAGCCTCTTCGACGGTGTCGTAGTAGAGAATCGACATGACAGGGCCGAAGATCTCGTCCTTGACAATCTTCATGTTGTCTCTGCAGTCAGTGAAAACAGTCGGACGGACCCAATAGCCATTCTCCAGGTCCTTGGGAAGAGAAGGCTTGCCAAGACCACCGTAAAGGAGCTTAGCCTTGTCAGTCTCGATTCCGTGACGAATGTACTCGGTGACCTTCTCCTGATGGATCGCAGAGCTCAATGGACCAAAGTTCGTAGCTTCGTCAAACAAAGGTCCTGGACGCACATGCTCCACCTGCTCGAGAAGACGCTTCTCAAAGGCCTCCTTCCAGCCACGGGGCACAAACACACGAGTGCCGTTGGTGCACACTTGACCCGTACTATAGAAGTTGGCCATCATGGCACCGTTTACCGCATTGTCCAGTTCAGCGTCGGGAAGGATGATGAGCGGGCTCTTGCCTCCAAGTTCCATAGTCACATACTTCATTCTACCGGCAGCGGATCCGGCCACCTTCAGTCCGGTGCTCACCTGGCCGGTGAAGGAAACCTTAGCGATAGTTGGATGAGAGGTCAAATAACTGCCAACATCGCCCGCACCGTAGACCACGTTGAACACACCAGCGGGAAGACCGGCTTCCCGGTAGATCTCTGCGAGCGTCTGAGCGTGAAGAGGTGTGTATTCACTGGGCTTGTAGATCATGGTGTTTCCAGCGGCCAAGCATGGTGCCGACTTCCAAAGGGCACTAAAAATGGTTAGCACGAAGCAATTAGGCATACATTTGGGGGCGCCTACATTTGGATAGGGTAGTTCCAAGCGCCAATTCCGGCGCAAACACCCAGAGCAGCCTTGTTGGAGTAGACCCACGCATCCTCTCTGAGCTGAGTAGTCTCGCCGTTCAGACCGCCGCCACCAATGAAATTAGCGTAATACTCCAACACATCAGCACCGCTCAGAACATCAACAGTGCTGGTTTCTGTGTAAGCCTTGCCTGAGTCCAGAGACTCAACACGGGCAATCTCGTCGTTTCTCTCCCGGAGCAAAGCGACGGCCTTCTGGAGGATGCGCGCACGAGCAGCAGGAGGGGTCTGCGACCACGAGGGGAAAGCACGGTCCGCGGACGCAATGGCCGCATCGACATCGGCGTTGGAAGCAATATGGATGTCGGCCAAAGTGTTTGCGTTGGAAGGGTTCAAGGTCTGGAAGGACTTGCCCGAAGTGGCGGATTTGATTTCACCGTCGTAGAAGAGTTGACGGGGGGATTGAACGTCGGAGGACATTATGCGTGGTATGATAGCAGTTTTGATGTATAATAGACTTTGAAATGAAGAGAAGGAAAAGAGGGGTTGTATAGATTGAAGTACCTTTGAGAAGTAGTGAAGCTTTACAAATTTACCCTGGCAACCGCAGACTTGTGTGGGCAGAATCCCACACCGCCCACGAGCCATTACGCAAAAAAAGAAAAAAAAAAGGTGAATGACTCCACCGGAACGGAACGTTGCCCGACGATAAGATAGGACCAGCTCCGAAGAGGTTCCTGAATGTTTATTTTTCCCTGATTCTGCTAAAAAACGATATCTAGGCGTGGCATTAATCCTTATCTATGTATAATATTCCATATTTAGTACAACTAGTGATCTCCATCGCCAGTGACCAGTGGTGATAGAGAATGTCATCAAAATAAGGCAAATTAATCCCAGACCGGTCGGTGAGAAATTCCGATCCGTGTCTAACCGTATTTAGCCTAGTGCATCGTACGATCTCTCAGCGGGACCAATCAGTGCAGGAAACCTTACCCAATATAGATTAGTTCCCTTAAGCGGTGACGTCGCGAAATCCGTAAAAAAGTGAGGAAAATAACCTTATTGGTGCTCAATAGAGCCAAAAAGAACGTAGATTGATAGTAGTTCGACGAAGTAGAAGCCTCGGAATAACGTGATTCAATGCTCTCGACATGTTTTAGGTAATGCTGCCGATAGTGGAATGCTTGGAGTTTTGTCCGTATAACCCCCAGGCTCCAATGATGCCGCTGCATTATGGCCCACTTGCCTGTTTGGAGCACTCCAAGAGAAAAAAAAAAGAAAAAAGTATCACCGCATTTTGTCTTAAATTCAATCTGGTTCCAATCTTTTTTTTTTTTTTTTTTTTTTTTTTTTTTTTTTTTTTTTTTT